GCAAAATTGCTCTGTCTGAAGCGGGCCTTAGGCCCGCTTCAGACAGAGCAACTTTCTCAGCAATTTTGGTGTTGCTGGTGGGTAGTTCCCTAGCATTCCCTAGATCGACACGAATTGCTGAGATCGGGTCCGGCTCGAAACGGACGAGCAACTCGAACAACTCGGAGCCGTTTGAAGCAACAGCAGCCAATCAGGAACGCAATATTCTTACGTGACACCCCCGTGGTGGTGATGATGACAGCTAAAGACTTGGTTCTGTTTTGAAATTGATCGTTTTTGGAAATAAACCTTCTCAGAAAGTTGAGTTAGTATTTTTGACGCCATTCAAAAATATAAAAACGTTCTTAGCGCGTAGCTGTGCGTCTAAATAGTGCAAGAAAATTCAAAGTGAATGATGATGATGGCAAGTCATAGCAATTCGGTTGCTGCGTGTGAACGCGGTTGGCCCGTGTTGCTGGTGTTGCGACGTCCAGTTGCTGGGTGAAATTGCTTCGTCTGAAGCGGGCCTTAGTCGTCATCATCACCGGCACGGGATGCCACGTGAAAATATTGCATCTCTGATTGGCTGCTGCCGCTTCAAACGCCTCCCAGTTGCTCGTCTGTTTCGAGCCGGACGCGATCCAAGCAATTTGTGTAGATCTAGGGAAAGCTAGGGAACAACTTGTCAGCAACATCAAAATTGCTGGGAAAGTTGCCCCAGCACCAGAACCCATTGGAACGAACAGGATAAGTAGAATCACTTTCGACTACACATGCGAGTCGAATTTCGCATTCCTATTTTCAATTTGACGAGTTTTGTCAGAATCGTAATAAAAAATACACCCTATTCGCCGTGGCAGACGCTGTAGTGGGGTAAAGCGCTGGATATTCTATTTTCATTATTCAGCTTTTTGTACTGGCGTAGAGAACAGCACACCCCCAATCCAGCACTTTAACACCTCAGTGCCAAAAGCGTTTGTTAGTACGACTACACGTGCCACATTTTCAAGCTCTGGTAAAATGTCCTACTACAAATATTACTTCACCACATAAACACAATGTGTGAAACAGGTTTTGCTGTGCGTTACCCAAATAGCGCATGAAGCGAGCTGACGATCCGAGTGATAAAAGATCCGCATGATCTGTCCTACCCGTGACATCACCAACGACCATGATGATAGCTAAGCGCCGGCCCTGTAGTTTGCGCCATGTGGTTCACTCACACCGCCAAAAGAGCTCTATGTGAAAGAGCTCTGTCGGTCGGCATTTTCCTATTGAAAATTTTAGAAAATAACGGTTACTGCTGAAACTTTGGCATCTGGTTTGAACTGTTAGTACTACTTTTGGGTGTAGAATGGGCGTAAGAATGGGCATAAGTAAAAAACAAAAAAAAAAAAAAACTTTTGTATGCAAGTTTAGAAAGAGTTATATACGTAAAGACAGGGGACGGGACAACACATGAAAGATGTGTTGTCCCGTCCCCCTGTCTTTACATATATAACTTTTTCTAAACTTACATCATTACCATGCGCTTACTAACCCAGTGTAAACCTTTGTAATTTTTTATTATTCTTTTTTTTTTTGGGGGGGGGGGGGGGGGGGGGGGGCACTTTGCATTTATTTTGAAGCAATCTGAAATAAATGAATAAATTACTCGTGGCTGTTGGCGTGCCATGGAAACTCCTAATCGGTGGCGGCTCGCTGGTGGTGACACCAAACGTTTATTTTCTGTCCCAGACAATATAAATAATAACTGGAACTTCCGTTTTTCTTTTAATATTAGCCTGGCTGGCCTCACTGGCCCATTGTTCGTCGTCAAGGTCGCTGTTACTTTTACTTTACTACTTGTTTACTTGTTAACATACACCTGTACATATAAGTTTCATTCACATGTATTCTCTAGTTGTTAACATACAGCTAGGGAGTCAGCCAGCACTTAGATGCACGGGCTTCTGCCTTTTGGCTGCCTCAGGCTCTCGGCTGTATGGAAGTAAAGCCAATACACTCCTTTGAACCTTTATGCTGGTGTAATTTTTAATATGAATAGCTACAACAAGCAGTCCTTGGTTTTTCCGTCCTCTCATCGCCGACATAGCAGGTGCGCTTACAAATATGCCGCATGCAGGGTGCAGTGAACTTGTCCTTCTAAACTGCGCAACTTTTTGGAGTGCACTTTCTATGTGGGCGCTGGGAGGACAGGAAAACCACGGACTGCTTGTTGTAGCTAAGTGTGATGAATCCCGGAGAAAAGCTCACCGGAGAAAAACTCATCGGAGAAAAGCTCACCGGAGATAACCTCACCACAAAACCGGCGGATGCGGAGAAAAGCTCAACGGCCATCGAGCGTATGCGGAGAAAAGCTTACCAATATTTTTTCTTCTTTTTATATGGAGGCTGTTGGATAATGCGTAACATATACCAATTTATAATCATTAAAATTCGTCAGCTTTGTAAAAAAGAAAATGTCCTTTTTATAATATTTGTTAAGCTTATTGGGTATATTGCTCCCAAATTAATAATTGCGGGCGAGTGTTTTCTGTGGCTTACTCTCGAGGCAACGAAAGCCTAACTAAAAACTTTATGAACTTGAAGAACAGGAAAAAGTTAAAAAATTTAATGATGTCTGCCTAAAACCTAAAGAAATCAAAGCTGTAACTGCCGAAAATTCAAAAGTGCATGCGCAACAACGCGGTGCCTGAAATTCTCTTTGAAGCTTCCTTTGAAAACAGGATAGAACAGTCAATAGGATATCGAGGCTTCTTTCTTCCACGGACATGCACGCTTTCTAGCCGTTCGTGCTGGTGTTTTCACACATTCCCTTTGTGTGATACTGAGTGCCCTTCTACGGTGAGCCACCCATGACCTTCGGAGCTGCGCAATAGCACCGTTGTTACTCGTAACCTATAGAAGAAGTAGTCTTTTGTTATGCAGCGAATAGGGCGAATCGGTAAACGTTATACATGATGAAAACCGCTCAAACGACGACAACGGTGTGAAGAAAACAAACACGACAAGGGAACCTGTTCTCGCAACTAAAGTTTTGTTAGTGAAATTAAGGAAGAAAACAGCGTAGCCGACACTGATTGCATCAACAAACACCTTCTCATCTATTAGGCACTACACAATATTTGGAGCTGAACCGGTTCACACACCGCTATTCATTATAGCTCGCAAAGAACAAACCTCTTTATCTGACAGAGCTAGCGATGGCGCGCTGTCAGCTGTCAATAAATTGTTGCCTTTTTTATCGGTGTACGATGTTTTGATTTTATGCTTGCGGCTTCATTAATTTATAGAATGGGTGATTACTACTTTCTGAGGAATTGGTAAATATGCCCAATGAACTTCAAGAATATTACAAAAAAGAGGACATATTTTTATTGAAGTGACGAATGCGAATTCTGTTAAATTGCCAAGTTTTTTTTTTTTTTGCGATGAACAGTAAAAAAAAAAAAAAAATAGAGAATGTTGTTGAGAAACTTTGCAGAACTAAATGGTACGGGACTTCCTTTCCGGAGGTGCGATCGGGGACAGCGGGGCTTGGATTGCCGGCTGGACGCCGCGAAGCGGCGTGTACTGGTTACGTTTTGTAATTAGCAGCCGATACTGTCGCCGCGAACGCAGGCGGGGGGCTGGGTTAAAGGGGTAGTCCACCGATTTTTTGAGCTACATCAACTAACTATATTTTCTAACTCCCCGGCCTTTAGCCTTTCCGGTATGCTATTTAGTATCGCGAAATTCATAATAGGTATTGTGAAATCGGCAAATGAAAATGGTCCAAAAACCAATATTCAAATATTCGCGCACTTTTCCGTGCCGTGACGTCAGTGGCAGGCAGGCTTGCCAGTCGAGCAAGTAGTCTAAAAATAGAATATGCCAATCATTTGTTCCGTGCTGGAGCGCGGATACGGGAGCGAGCTTCCAAAGCACTCATTTGACACCAAGAAACTGCTTCAAATCCGTTAAGAACTTCTGTAGTCCAAAAAGTTAACCCCTGCTTCCACTGACGTCACTTTTTCGTGGTTGCCAGTAGAGACTTTCAGTTTGAAAAACATGGTGAAGACCAAAACTGTAAATTCAATAACTTCGCGAAAAAACAATATTTTGACCTAATATTTGGGATACTATTTTAGCAATGTTTGTTGGTTAGCTTAGCAAAATTTCAAGCAAATCGGAGACAATGCAAAAAACGGTGGAGTATCCCTTTAAAGGGATACTTCAACGAAATTTGAAATATTCCCGTCGTGTTCAAAAATAGGTTGAATATGATCCACAATATTCGTAAATGACAATCGCACGTTTGTATTTTGATCCTGGTGGCTGTATTTTTCGTTATAAACGGCCCACTCTGGCAAGCGCTCGGAGAAGGCCCAGCTTAGAGCACGTGACATCCAACGCAATCGTGACGTAGGTCGTCTCAAGACGAGCAAAGCTACAGCGAGGCTGACGTCGGGAGGATGGCCTAGTCGTTCCAACCACCGAAGCGGCTGCTTTTGTACGAATTTTGAGTGACGGGTTAATCTTTTATAATCTTCTAGGGGTACAATAGCGACTTCTGCGACACACAAAAGGGATTCTCGGGAAGAGGGGAGTTCCTCCTTCCCCCCCTTCTCTTGTGGTGGCCGGAGACGAGACAACCTCTGTCACTAGCTGTCAAGGTTCCTAGACGAGCATTACAAACGAGGCGTTAGCGACATCCACCAGGTGCTCTTTGCTAATTGTTTAATTCGTTTTAAAATTCCTTTTCGAGACTTTTTTAACAAGATATTGGAATGTTCCATGTGATACTGCTCTTTTGAACACATATAGACCAAAAACTAAGCGCCGAAATTTCGTTGTAGTATCCCTACCTTCCCAGTGATTCACGCGCCGTTCGAAAAGCGTGGCCCGAGCGGCATGATCTCTCGGAGGAGTGCGTATAGCCATTTCCGTCCGAAGTGCACTCCGGAGTGCGTATAACTTTACTCTAAAAAAAAAAAAAAAAAAAAAAGTATATATTAAATAGATTGCGAGAAACTTACATCTGAGGTTGCACTTTTCCGTAAGTGAAATCCGAAGGTAGGAATGCTTCCGACCAAAGGAATCAGTAAGGACTTTCGGAGGTTCATCCTTTAATGTTGAGACAGAAAGGTGTCGGATAAGAGAGAGACTTTCAGAACACAACAAACCAAAGAAAAGTCCTTCAAACTCACATGGCTGTTTGCAGGCTGAATGAGTTCCTGCGGTGCTGCCGATTGCAGATTTCTGCATCTTACCAGCGGCCAAGAAAGAGGTAAAAACTCCTTGCCGAACACTGCTGCGGTTAAGCTACCAGCAGACCGCGCGCACACGCCGAGCATGACGACTGACGACTGTCAGATCACTCGTCGTACTGAGCGCAACTGGTGCAACTCCCCTCTTTTTCGGTCTTTCACCTGTTCGCAGCTGGCCTCCCATGAACGACAAGAAAGCGACGACAGCATCGAAACCGCGCAGCAGATCATTCGACAGCAACACGGGCACGTGAATATCACTGAATAAACAAGGCCAATGTGGTCAGGACTCAGGTCATGGGTCAGGTGCACTGTGGTCAGGTGATCGTTGTACGAAAAAGAGCGGTTGGATTGTTGTCCGTTCCATTTAGCGCCATTTAGCGCTCTCTGGGCGGCACCATTTTGTTCGACAGCAGCGCCCTCTCCATACATCCGGGAAATTCGGCGGGGTAAAACGAGAGAGAGGGCACGCGCCTGACCTCGCTAGCAGACGACAAAACGGGAGGTTGCCATTCTCCATAGAACATCGAACTCTCCCTCGTGGCTGCGGTTGTGAAATGGTTCGCATTCTTAGAATAGTTATGGCTACTCCAAAATCAGCCTACAGCTCTCTGTTGTTCTACTTCAGTAAATGATGAACTGACATATCTTTTTTCCATTACTTAAAGGGGCCCTGCAAGGACGTTTTACTGTTTTTTAATTTGCACCGAACCTGAGCGCACTGAACGTAGTAACTTAGTGAAACTTTTCTTTTCGCGAAATTCGCTTTATTTTAGAGAAAAAATTGTAAGGGTGCAGGCGAGCTGGTGGAAGTTAACCATAGTTTTGTTTAACCCGAGACTGGGGTATTTCGGAAAAGGGACGAGAAAAAAAGAGGCCACAAGGAGGCGACGTCTCAAACACAGCTAAGGATTTTATTCCATCGTATGCACTTTTATACACACCACGTCCACACACCACCAACCAAGTCGACCAATGACAACATAACACCCGGAATACACTAAGCCAAACATAGGCCCAAAACATTACAAAAGAAAAATCTTTGGACGATTCTACTCGGAGAGGGTTACAGGAACCACCAGAGGTTTCGACTGTGGGACACAGAAAGAAGACAGCAATTTGAACGAAACTGGTATGTGCGACGAAGATTAGTGTTGGACGCTGTAAAAAGGTCGAATGTTGGGTTTGGAAATAGTTGTAGTTTTGTGAATGGTGACCAATCCGCTGGGGCTCGGAGGTGCGGTATTGTGAATCCTTGTAAAGTCGCATTTACAGAGAGGACGGAGGAATTGTTGAGAGGAGGACCGAAGTTTTGTGTAAATGTAAAACCGTCGAGAGTAGATGTTTTTTCCGCGATCCAGACAATTGCTAGAAAAGTAGGGTTAGACGAAAGGGTTGCTTTTGTGGACTACGCGGTCAGTAGAATGGAAAGAGTTGTGGATGATTCGTATAAAAAAGACAGGAGGAATTTTCAGGCTATCACGGAAGTAAGAAAGGATCTAGATCACTGGAATTGTTACAGACCGATAAGAGCGGTATGTTTGCCGTCCTTCCATTGGCGGTTTTTGAAAAAAAAGTCAACAGAAACATTGGACTCGGTATTCATGGCATGGCAAGGCAAGTTGGGAAAATTAAGGAAGGACATCTCAGCTACACTAAGACGAGGGTTTAGAGACCTTAGCCAGGAAAGTCCTGAATCAGCCGAGAAGCGCTTTAAGTTTAAAATTCTTCTTAAAGGACCACAAGCCGGAAATGCCGTTCCGCACGGTTATTAATGAGAACGGAACGTGGCAAAGCATGGTTTCGAAGTTTCTTCAAAAAGGTTTAGACTTCGCTAGATTGGAAAACAGTCTTTCGTTAAGAAACTCGGACGATTTTGTTCAGATTTTAGATGCTCACCATGGGAGGCAATGCTCGTTGATCTCGATGGACATTAAAGATCTGTACTATTCTCTTGAAAAACAGCTGTTGATGAGTAGGGTTAGAAAGGCTTTGGAGCGTAATTTGGTAAAATTTCAATCAGGTACGGGGATTCCGGTAGATAGTTTTTTAGCGATCCTGGATCGCCACGGTAGTGGAGTTCAAGGAACGCATGTGGATTCAAAAGAAGCTTGTGTGTATTGGGTCTGCGGTGGCACCTATTTTGGCAGAAATTTATTTAAACTCTTTGGATAACGCGATCTCGGAAAGGCTGGCAGTTTGGGGGTCGGGTGAAGTTTTAGTGAGAAGGTATGTTGATGACATTGTGGTCATGAGCTTTCATGGGAAGGATACGGGAGCAATAGAGAGTCTGGTGAGAGCCTCAGCACCGGAACTTACCTTTACTGTTGAAGGGGTCCATATCACAAGAGCGAATGACATTTTAGCGAACGGCGACATTTGAGCGAATGGTCGTTTTAGCGAATAACGGGGGCGCGCGTTAACCCATCCGTCGCGCTGCGCTTTACGCCGCTTCGCGGCGACAGTCTGCGGCAACTCAATACAAAAATATTAACTCACTTGGCCCACCCGAAAACGCCGCTTCGCGGCGTCCGACTATTCGCTAAAGTGTCATTCGATGAAACGTGGGCGTTCGCTAAAACGTCATTAAGTGAGTGCCTCCCCTTCTTTAGAGCGTTTCCGATTATTGATTTGACCATCCCAGCCTTCACAGTCTTTGAATGGCAGCTTCTTCTACTTAAAACTGGCTTTGCCGATTCTTTTCCGTACTCCCAGCACACTCCTTCTTGCACGTGAATACGTAAATCTAAAAACTGCAAAACTCCTCTGTCTGGCCCTTCAACAGGGGAGGCACTCACTTGATCGAATGACGTTTTAGCGAACGCCCACGTTTCATCGAACGACACTTTAGCGAATAGTCGGACGCCGCGAAGCGGCGTTTTCGGGTGGGCCAAGTGAGTTCATATTTTGTAATGAGTTGCCGCAGACTGTCGCCGCGAAGCGGCGTAAAGCGCAGCGCGACAGATGGGTTAACGCGCGCCCCCGTTATTCGCTAAAACGACTATTCGCTCAAATGTCGCCGTTCGCTAAAATGTCATTCGCTCTTGTGATATGGACCAAAGTGCATACGATGGAATAAAATCCTTAGCTGTGTTTGAGACGTCGCCTCCTTGTGGCCTCTTTTTTTCTCGTCCCTTTTCCGAAATACCCCAGTCTCGGGTTAAACAAAACTATGGTTATTTTAGAAGTTATAGGCAATTTAGAATTACAAAAACAAGCAAAAAATAACCTCCTTCATGACGTCCTAGGTCCTGGCTTGAGTGGCCGTGAACTAGAGGAGGAATAGTGAGCTCATCAAGCGCTCACGGCCGCCGCACTCCGTGTCGACGGCGCGAGAGGGCGCATCTAAAGCATGTTCTGGATAGGCTGTATGCAACGGGCAGCCAAAGCGGCTTTAATTGCATTTTCTGCGTGATTAAACACTAATTCGGCATGACACTTCACTGGCCACGAACGACAGCAAACACGGGGTAAAGATCAGTTCAGAATGGGAGCCACTTCGCGCTGCCATACCGCGAAACGGCCAAACCGCAAGACAAAGCCTCTCGCGGAAGGCCTTCGGAACGCTCGGAGGCGGTCGGATCCTGCTGTCCATGCGACTGCAGCGCCACCGCGTACATCCGGAATTTTTTTGTGTCGCCGCCTTATCCCACTACTCCTTTCTAGTATGCGCCGCCTTTTCCACCGCTTGGCGGCGGGCATGTCGACGGGTCATTTCTTGTTTTCGTACTTTATGAACTGAATTTCTTTCTTTTTTTCATCTATAATAGTGAACAAAAACTACTTTTATAAATAATTGAAACGGTTGGCGCCACTTATATTTTGTATTTCGACCAAAAAAGTTTTTAGCGGCTCTGACCAGTAGTAAGCCCAGGACCAAAGACGTCACATTTTGCGCGCTTTCGCTACCGCGGGTCGCCCTCGTCGGTGGAGGAGGTTTCCGTGTCGTCCGGTTAAAATATGGTGCACTGATATTTAGCTACTCTTTCCGTGCCCGCTGGCTTGCCCGAACCCCAAGAGACGTGGAAACCGCATAAAAGGTCGACGCTTAAATATGATTGCAGGGCCCCTTTAAAGAGCAGTTGAGTCAGCCGGCGGTACTACCCTCAACGACTCCGTGTATTTCGGCAGGACAGCATGTTTTTATTTATTATTTCAGACATCCACTCATGGTGGCTAAAGGCCTACACCAGTACGAACTTTGTACAGTAAAAAAGGTACAGCCACCGGATTCACTTTTCGCCGGAGAGACCGGCCAGTCTGACACAGTTTTCCTTTTTTTTTTTTTCTTTTTTTTTTTTCTTTTTCATTTGCACGCAGATAACAGCGCAGTTGGACTCTGTTAGTCTTTTTATCTAGTATAGTAATACACGATAACTGGCATATCAAAGTCTGCGCATCTGCGTTTGAAATTCCCGAAATGACGCGATTTTAAACAGGGTTTGTACGCCAGCCGGATGCTAGGTACTGCCCACTCGGCGGAGCAGACGACATACAGGTAAAAAAAGAGAGGGCATTTTTTTTTCTATCTTTTTACTCTTTTTGCTATGACCCAAATTGAACGGTCTATAGATGGCGCTAGTTAAAGTCTACTTCACACTGCACATTTTCAAAGTGCGAGGGGAGGGCGCGCGCGCGTGAGCAAATCGCATCTTGTTTGCGAGTTCGTCAACGCTTTATCAGCTTTATTGGCTTTATTTTGGTGCGTGCGCGTGCGGCGCCGGCAAACTTGCTAGGTCTGACACCGGAGACGATCTGGCGGAACATAGCCATGGACAGCTTCGCTGTAAAAAATTGCGGTGGCTTAGCTCGGCTAGCTTAGTAACGTTGGCTTATGCGCACAAAATGAGAGGCGCTATCAAGCGGCTCCGGTGCAGCGTCAGACTTGGCTACTGCGCAACAGAGGCGCACAGCTGGGCACGCGGCGGCGCCAGTGCGTCTGCCGCGGCTATGACGTCATTCCTCTGGAATGCGCAGACCGGCGAGGCGGGCCAACCGGCTCTGGGGCCAACACGGCGGGCGCGGCGGCGGCGGCTCCGGCGCGCCAGCTGTGCGCCGTGTTACGTCACTGCTCCTCGAGCATGCGCAGCACGGAGCACGGCTCATTATGCGAGCCATGCGAGCACGGCCAATGTAGCTCACGCTACAAAACGTTGAGTATTGACTCAGTGCTGCAGCTTGCCAGGTTTAATCATATCAAGCAAGCCTGAAACTCAAAACAGTAACAAGAAATAACAATTAGAATGCTTGGCAATAATTTGTTGCCAGAATGCCAAAAATGTAGGTACACCATACAGATTCAGGGGGGGGGGGTCAAGTGTCCTCCTCCTCCCTTCCCCCTCTATGCTCCCCCCCCCCCCTCCCTCGCGAATCCCGGAGAAAAGCTCACCGGAGAAAAGCTCACCGGAGAAAAGCTCACCGGAGATAAGCTCACCGGAGAAAAGCTCACCGCAAAACCGGCGGATGCGGAGAAAAGCTCACCGTTTTTTTTCTTCTTTTTATATGGAAGCTGTTGGATCATGCGTAACATATGTATCAATTTATTATCGTTAAAGTTATTGCTCCCAAATTAATAATGGCGGGCGAATGTTTTCTGTGGCTTACTCTCTAGGCAACTAAAGCCTAACTAAAAATTTTATGAACTTGAATAACATGACAAAGTTCGAAAACTTATGTCTCCCTAAAACCTAAAAATCAAAACTGTAAACGCCGAAAATCCTAAAGTGCATGTGCAACAACGCGGTGCCTGACATTCTCTTTGAAGCTTGTATTAACCTTTGAAAACAGGATAAAACAGTCAGTAGGATATCAAGGCTTCTTTCTTCCACGGACATGCACGTTTTCTAGCCGTTCGTGCTGGTGTTTCCGCAGGTTGCCTTTGTGTGATAGTACCCTTCTAAGGTGAGCCACTCATGACTCTCAGAGCTGCACACTGGCACCGTTGTTACTCCTGACCTATATAAGAAAGTCTTCTGTAAGGTAGCGAATGGGGCGAGTTGGTAAACGTTATACATTATGAAAACCGCTCAAACGACGACGACGGAGTGAAGCCAACAAACACGACAGGACGAAGCTGTTCTCGCAACTAAAGTTTTCTTAGTGAAATTAACAGAAAGAAGACACTGATTGCATCAACTACTTACTTAACTATTAGGCACTACAGAATGTTTGGAGCTGAAATGGTTCACACACCGCTATTCATATTAGCTCACAAAGAACAAACCTCTTTATTTGACAGAGCTACCGACGGCGCACCCTCAGTTGTCAATAAATTGTTGTCTTTTTTACCGCGGTGAACGATGTTCTGATATCATTTTTGCGGCTTCATTAATATACAGAGTGGGTGATTACTAATTTCTGAGGAATTAGTAAATATGCCAAATGACCTTCAAGAATATTAAGAGAAAGAGGATATATATATATATATATATATTTTTTTTTTTAAATGAAGTGGCGAATGCGAATTATGTAAAATTGCCACGTTTGACGCAGAATCCGCCAAGATAAAAAAAAAAAAAGAAATCGGTGAGCTTTTCTCCGCATCTGCCGGTTTCGCGGTGAGATTTTCTCCGGTGAGCTTTTCTCCGGTGAGCTTTTCTCCGCCGCCCCTCCCTCCCCTTGAATTCTATGTGTAAAAATTTAGGACGTGGAAAAATCGGTGGAGGAGGGGTTTCGAACATCCAATATGCTGATCCCCCCTTCTCTGGAAATACCTGCATCCGCCTCGACTGTGCGACACCACTTGTGCAAACATAAGCCATTGCCAGTTTTTCTGTGGCGATCCGAAGAGAGGAGGAAAGCGCGTGTACGGCGGTTGGTGCACCCTCTCCCTTAACATTGACTGCATCGCCGTAGAAAGCTGACCGAAGGGCTGTCATTAAAACAACTAGTGTGGTGGACAATAATCGTTTGGGGCACTTACCTGAACAGTAAATTTTTATGCCCTCCAATATTCTTCCAAAATAAAATACAAGCAACTGCATGTCGTGCTCATGCTAACACTTGTACGTGCAGTGTACACACACTGCATGAAATTACCAATCATCTGCCAAGAGTCAGAGTAAACAATCAAAATAATGCAATGCACATACAAAGATGGATTTGTATTAGGTTTTTGCAACCAAATAATTAGGGCTGCAGCTCGCAGCAGACTTTTTCCAAATATACGGCTCTGTAAAATCCAGTGCCATCTGCCATCTGGTGGCTGGAATGGCAGTTTATCTTTTGCCGTACTAATGGCGGCAATGAACCTGTAGCCTGCAGCATTTTATCGGGCACCATCACTTTCGCAAGTCAACGGCAAACGAGAATGTGCAATTCACTGCACAATTCTTTCTCGATGATCTCTTTCAGTGTCGATGGCCACAAAGATGCAACCAATCGGAACGAAGCGTTAACCCAGATAGACGCCTTGTTAAAGTTATATACCTACATCAAGGGGCTTTGAAGTCGATTCTGTACTGTTAAAGGGATGGTGAACCGGAACCTGGATTCCACAAAACACTGTGGCAAAAGCGTGCAACGGGATGCTACAAACACCAAAACATCACTCATACAGCGATATCTCGAACAAATGACCACATTTCTAAAAAAAGGAGGTGCACTTGACATATATGTTTACGTCTTGTTTCTCCGAGAAGGAGAGAGAACGGCCTCGCGTCTTCTCCGCCTCGCCGCCTTGAGGGGGCGAAGCGAAAAGGGGAGGAAATGAGATATCTTGATGTCACGTGCCTCGTCGGCCTCGTTCAATCTCAACCTCTTTTTCCAGAAATACGGACGTCCATTCGAGATATTGCCTTACGAGTAGTGTGGTAGGGATTGTAGCGTCTTGCCTACAGCTCCTGCATTGTTTTCTGAAATCCAAATTTCGGTTCACCACCCCTTCAACAGATTGACTGGGCCAGAGTTATAAAAATGACTGCTTATGCAGCTCTTGCATTCCATTCCTGCTTTGCAAAGTGATAACGTCTCGAATGTATAGGCCTCAAATCCTCAGCTTCGGAGTATCTTCAACTTGTTCCTTCATCAGTAAACAGAAGACAGCCATTAGTATGCCACATATGCCATTTTTCAAATGATGATGATGATGATGATGATAGTGAAAGGGGCCAGACCAAATTTTGGAAAGGGTCTATTGAAACTTGAACAATGTTCGCCTCAATAACAGGCAAACATTGGTTTGACCGTTATTGAGTCTAACACCATGGTTGGAGCTACATTCCTGGGGATTGGTTGCGTTTGCTCGTAGGAACATAGACTTGTGATGACCGAGGAACATATGAAATGCGGAGAGCAAGTCGTCTGGCTTCTTGCGCAGGAGTTGCGTGGAGGTTAGAATGAGCCAAGCTCCGAGTGGCTTTGCTTGAGAGGACCCCAACGCTAGATGCCCCTCAAGGTGTCCCCACTATTTTTCTTCAGTCAGTGAATAAGAGCTCGGCGTTCTGACATCATCGCAGCCTCTGTACAAAAAGCAGACAAACTTGCGCACCACATACGATTCTTGCTGCTGTCTAGATGTCTCTGAAGAAAATTACAGGAGTACTGTTAAGACTGCTTACACGTAGGAATGCAAAAGCATTCCTACACGCAGCACATTTGTATTAGCAGCGCGCCCACTCCTCTGCAGGCAAGGACAGCAGGCAGCGCGCCCCTCCTCCGTGGTACGACATTGCTTAAAGCAGAGCGTAAAACACGCAAGTAGCGAGAATTTCCAGCAGTTCCCTCACCTCATCCCCACCCCCCTTACCTCTTCCAGGCCTCCAGCAACCTCTGGCCACGCCTGACACGTGACCCAAGAGGGGAGAGAGGGGGTCTGACACGCCATCCAAGAGGAGGGAAAGAGGGGCTGCCGAGCGCATGCCACCCTCTCTTTAGTTGCTCATGTTTCGCAGTCACAAACACCGGCAGCACTTTTGCATTAAAATGTTTGGTTTTTCTTCACTGCAAAAATAAACTATGTATAGCCCAACACTTAGCTACCACCCATATGTAGTACTGGTGGTCCAGATCAGATGCCAAAGTTTCAGAACTTGAAGTTATGTAATAAGGAAATTATAAACGCTTTTCAGAAATTTCCAACAAGAAAATGTAGGTCAATGCCCACGAATATAGCGAGATGAATGGCATCGGCTACTGGGAACTATTTCCTCACAAATTTTTCGAAAATCGCGCAACTTTTGAGTCCCATTACGGCAAGCTCTGAAACTGTAGCCCTTGGCACTACATGTGGGTGGAGAATGAATATTGAAATGCATACTGTTTATTTTTTCAGTAAAAAAAAAAACACTTTTTTTTATATATGCACCTAATATTTATACATAGTGAGCCCTTCTGTGACAGTCACAGGAATGCCGCACAAGGATGCAAAAGACCCCCAAAATAGGACATAAATAATTCAATGATCACTCGAAATACACACTGGTGGCACAGTGACGAGATTCCCGGGGTTGCACGCAATCCCAATGTCCAAGTGAAATACAGCAAGAGAAGCCCAAGCACATCTTTGCAACATTTCTATAGTTTAATTGTCTGGTGGATGACAACTGGAGTACAGAAAACCAAGGTCCTTAAGGAAAAGTAAAAACATCATGAATAATGGTATTCAACTCGCTAACAACAACAGATAAACATGGCATCTTGTTGACTGGTACACATCCTTTATTTACAATTGTACTTGCTGCCGCTCATCACAGAAACAGTTTTTTTTCGGAATCTTGCTACAAACAGGTGCGGGGAAAACGAAACTACCATGGCGTAATAATACACTTGGATCATCAATGCGCATTTTGCATCCTTCCTCACAGAAACAGTCAAAGTCTTGCACTAGCATACCTCGATAGACCTAACCCTTCCAAAAAACCCCGATGCCTACTCGAGAGCAAATTGCTGAAAAGAGACCTTTCCATGGAAGAACTGTTTGCTCACAATTTGCACAGTGAAGACAAGGGTCTAAGCCAGTTTGAAGCTGTCGCAGCATTTGTAGTCTACAGCGAAAGAACAGAAGAAGACCATATCAGCATCGTGAAGAGCGCCTCTACGACTTGGCAAATTGCATATATGGGTTTCTCGAAAGCCTCTTCTAGAAAAATACCTCGGACACCTTTTGTAACATTTGTCGAGAGAAATAAAATTATATGTCGCATTTTTAGACCCATGTTCCCTGCTTCACTGGCCCTCGCAACACCCACCCTCGGAGGTACAATACAGGAAACAGCAAAAACACTACAGAAAATGTGGAACCACTTAAACAGTCAACGTCTGATGCTACATATATACACATCATACACATCCAAGTGGTGGTGGTAGTGGCGGTGGTAATGGTGGTGGTGGTGGTGTCTGTGTCTGTGTTTTTTTTTTTTATATTTATTTTTGCTCTGCGCAGGGAGAAGCGGCAACAACAAACTCGAATGAAAGGAAACCGAGTACAATATTCCTACGAGAGTACACGGAAAATCACAGAGTGGAGGCACACCAAGGAAACGGCCTTAAAACTGGTACCATTTCTTATCCTTGTACTTGTTCATGAGCTGGTGTGTAGTGTTGGCAAAGCTCTCCGCTTCGGTCATCATGCGTCCCGTGCGCTCTTCTAGCTGCGAGAGAGCCTCCCCCCGCTCCGTCAGACCCTGGGGGAAGAGGAAAGGCAATCCCGTCACCAACAGAGGTTGTGCCTCTATGCTCTGCAACTGCGGGGGCATCGCCCCTCGCAACCACCGGACAAAAGGCAGTTAAATTAAAGTCAGTACCAAAGGTGGCGAAAACAAATGTGCACCCCGTGAGAATCCTAGCAGTGCACACCCTTCCCTACAACTGAAACACGAGAAACGGCACAAATTGAAATATTTTAACGGTTGCAAACTTATTTTCTTTTTTTTTTTTTTTAATTCGTTGCATTCCATAAGATTTTTGTTACCTCAACCAAACGTAGCGAGCATACGAACTACAACTCTTTCATGTTATGTTCACACGGTGTTGCGCTCAGTTTACTCAGTTTTCCACACTGCATATTTTCTTGTCACCTTCTTGGCGTCCAGCCGCGACAATATTGCATGGCAAGTATGAAGATAACATTAGAATCTCGGTCGTATTAGTTCACTGCTAGCCACAAAAAGAAAGATGATAAACGCTAACAAACAGAAAGGATGCATGCCATTATACATGCTGACAAAGACCAGCAAGCACAGAATGTCACAAACCACACTCTGTGCATCGTTCGTGCTAGATATTCCCTCCTGTTTATCACCTGTTTTTTTTATATTAACTTTTTTCTTTTCCTTTATTTTTTATTCGTTTCTTTTTATTTATTATTCTCACCCAAAACCGTTTGCTGTCGCTGGCACTTTTGCATTCAAATAAAAACTGACCTTCCAGACCAGCTGTGCTAGTAGCTCAGACAATAAAGAAAAAAAAAAGTGCTACTACTTCAGTGGCCATAAGTATCCGACTGCCACACCACCGACCCACGTTCCGAGCCCCACCGGGGGCTCAAACCTTATATGTTAGTGAGTTTTAGAATAACATATGCAATTTTAGCGCATGCTTAGCACTAAATTTAGCACCTGCGTTGGTGCGGACTACGCAAGAGGGTTTCAGAATGGCGTTTCTCCACTGCAACACGAAAAACTACAGAAATTGAACTACTGGCATATATATTAACGAGACAAAAATGCCTTTTCTTACACAATTTGTCGCAAAAATAGCTGCCCATAGTCCGAGCTCCCGGTTTCCATATTATTGGGGCGGAATTGCATTGGGGAGAGATTGGTTCCTAAAAATTTCGTCCATATTAACAGGGTTGATATTAACGAGACATGATCGCATATAACCTTAAAGTGTGTAACACTCCCAGCATGTCACCCGTTCATGAGGCTCGCTCATGACAATTTTCTCATAGAAAATGCCGCATATAATACACATTCTGCATTAATACCGTCAAATGTGTGGGGAGTCTGCTTCTGCGTGTGCTGAATTTGCTCGTTTCTTAAGCGAAGTGGATAAAAAGGCGCCTGTGTCAACAGAATTCACTGTATGACCCTAGTTCTGAATGCAGTCATCATGTGGCGGCTTGCAGTAATAATAGAAAAATCTCGAAGCTGGAAGCACATCTGGCAAAACAGCCCCAAGAAGCCCCGAAGAAGGAAAGAAAACTGGTGATAATGGTGATGCCTCAAGGCTGTTCACAGAACATCCCTGTCCATTTCCGCTTTAAAGAAACTGCCCACCATATCGCCGACGTCGCGACATACACAGTATGCTTAATCTGCACCATCTCGCTTGTCTTTTCAGTCTCGTATCCCAGCCAGCAGCGATTTCAGCAGACGAGACAATCTTAGTTTCACGTCAAGCTATGCACCAAGAGGCGCCAGACCTCGAGACCTCCATTAATTCCTGCTATAGAAGTGATTTTTAACGTCTTGTCAAAGTAACCCACGACTCGGTGGCAAGCACTAGAAGTGACCCCGCTTGTGCGGACGGACAATGTTCCGGCAAAGTGCCCGCTCACCTGTCTGGCCCTCATCACCTCTCCAGCCAGAGTGCCCGCTTGTGCCCTCATTGCATCAATGTTGCCGGTGCTTCCTGGTATGTGGCGAGCCACTGTCTTCGATGCCTTGCCACTTGCTTCCCCAACTGGACACAACAAGAAAAATTGACACAATGGGCTTCCGGCCTTGAGGAGGCACAACACGATCAGTGGCCCGACGATAATCGCAAAATCCACCACAGTGCGCACCCATTGTCGGACTTTGTTTAAGCTTCACCAATACTGATTTATAAGAGAGTAGTAAATGGCTGCAACAGTCATTTAGTCAACCAACAACAACATTAGCACTACAATGCTTCAACCTAAAATTCACCACGTTTCAATTAGAAACGAGGATTCTCATTTGTAGAAGGATGAGTGTATGACAGCTTCCCCTAATGCTAACATTAATAACCAACTTGCACTTTAGTCATATAATCAGCTCAAAGCATATGGAATATAGTGCTTCTAATAAGGAACCACCTCACTATATTGTGGTAGGGCATTTTTGCTAAAGTTTAGACACGGTAATACTACAAAAAAAAAAAAAAAAAAACTTTTATGTATTAAAAAGAGTTAATCAGTTAAAGGGCAACTCCGGCCCACACTTTCGATTTTGGGATTATGACTGTTTTTAGTGCAGTCAGAGTCCCTGAATTGCAAGGTGTAATTGTTTTCTCGTTATTGTGCGTAGTTTTAAAGATATCGACGCCTCAAAGTTTTGTTTGGCCAACGGAACCGAAACTAGCCGCTCAAGGCCCCGGCAACACTGGAAATCAGCCGCTATGTGAACGTGACGTCAGGATCGTTCTCGTTCAACGAGTATGCAGGCCGAGTGGCACCTACTTCTGTTGCACCAGCCGTCTAAAGATAGGAGGTAAGCTGGTTTTGTTTAATTTTGTATACATGGTAGTTATCCAGCATATGTAGCAAGAGTTAGTGCGTATACCTAAAAGCTAGCGACTGGAAAACCTGTGAACTCGTACGGTGCCGTACTCGGCGCCCGCCGCCGCGCGTGCGCTACGCCGTACTTGTTGCATGTATGCCCAAAAGCAAGCGACTTGAAAACGAGTGAACTCGTTGGGTACCGTACTCGGCGGCTGTCGCCGTCTGTGCGGTCTTCCGTACTCATCGCTAGGCCTAAATTGTCATTGGGGCTCCTTGGATGGAGCGGCGTTCCTCTACGCCGCGCTGCCAGTAACATACAATACTGGGGGCCCTCTCGCTTTCGCGCTGCAGGTCAATTCCAGACATGAAGCTTTGAGGCTCTCCGGCGCGGGCCGCGGCGCCCGAACACACGTGTGCTGGGCTGTACACGTCTTTTTTTTTTTTGTCTTTTTTCCTTGGGCGAGTAAAAGCCAAAGTCCAAAGTCCACTCGTCAAACAGCGTCCACCCACACCTTCTCCAATTTCCGGTCACTTGAAAACTTGTGAAAAAGCACCTCTGTGTTACGCAGCGGGTTGTTTGAGCAGCCCACAGCGCTACAAGTTGCACTCGGCATCTATCGAGGAACAGCTGGGCAGTCTTGGGCGCTCCGAGTTGCTCGCTAAAACGAGTCTTGGAGTCCTCACAAGCAAATAAACAAAAGGCTATACCGAAGCTACACAGGCTACAGATAAAAGTAACGGCTAAACACGCCAATCACAAGCCGAAGAAGCGGTGGTAGCGGCTCAAAAAAGCGCACTCCACGCAACGCCCGGACCAGAAGAAAAAAAGAGAACGATACTGACATCACGGCCCAATGTTGCTTTAGCCATAGGCAACCCGCTGGCCGCCCACTAAGGAGCAGCGGCTCGCGGCGGGTCGCATTTTTATTATCAGCATTAGTTGAGAATGCGGCGTCCCACGGACGTAATAGTTTGGCTGGGGTCGTATTTTGTGTCACTACAGCGATACCAGTAATTTATTTCATCTTGAGTTTTGGCCAAAGTTGCCCCTTAACAGTATTATAATACTGAAAAAGACATAATTCCTAACCTAATGTGACAAAAACTAAAAAGTGTCTAGGCAGGTACTGTATAGCATTCCTTTTTCAGAATAAAGAAGGCGACTTTCTTTTCAATGTTTTTTTTTTTTTTTTAATTTTTTTGTAATAAATCAATCTTTCGCATAATTCTCCTCCTGGTTCAGCGAGACCTAAATCAAATTAGGACAAAGTATTTTTTTTTTTACTTTTTCTTTACGTTTTTATTATATGCAGGCAAAATCTAAAAAATGTACCGTAAAATACCGGAGAAAAGCCCAGTTAAAATTTAGAGATACTAATCGCAAAAAAATGGGGGATGGGCGCTAGTCCGGTCATCAATTTTACATATCAATCTACTGTGCATATTTTCTCAGATCTTAGAAATTTGGGAATGGGCGCTTAATGTGGAATGGGCAGATGCGCAGCGTTCTACGGTATCGCTTTAAAAAGTTTTTTTTCTTATTTTATGCAAAACAATTGTAAGTTTTTACAAGGAGAATTAGAAGCCCATAAAAACAAACCTGTTTTGGGCATGTCGAATGTTTGATGGAAAAAATAAAAAAAGTACTGTAGAGCCCCAAAATATGACTTGGTTTGAGAACAAGCAGCAAAGCATTGCTGGGTGCAGTTTACTCACAGAGCTCCTCTCGATCCAACAGACTGGGTCCTCCGCCAAACAAGCCTTTGAAGAAACTCTGTTTTGGTGCTTCAGGCATCTCTTTGTTTAGAAAAATGGTTCCCAACATCTCCTGCAGGTTGGCACTGCAAAAATAACGCCCCTGTCACTACATTCCGTCCGAGTGAATCTGTTGTTGAACTATCACAAGCATTACTCTAGGCCCTTGAGTCTAGGTGCATTCGCAAGACATGTAAACTTTGATGCTCGCTGCTACTAATTATTACACTTATTACAACATTGGTATCACTTCAAATGGTTGCCTCGTTTAATCCAAAAGGTCAGCAAAATGCTACCTCCGTAAAGATGAAATACAGATATTGGTCCCGCTAGTGCTGTCGACAAGCCTTGTTCATGCACGAGAGTACACTAACCATATTTATCCAAATGTTGTGTGCAAATCAGTACCTCCTCTGCCAAACTGAAGTAAACTCGACTGTTTTATTAGGCTAAAAGAATAAAGCTAATGAGCGGGTCTACGTAGTGTACTTCCGTGTCAAGAGCGACCAGCTCACCAGAAATCCGAAGAAATGGTAAACTTCTGCAGCTCTGATGGGGAGCACAAGAACATTCCATGCCCATTCTTGCTAAAGCAAAAAGTCCTGGCAATTCTGTTGCAGCAAGAAAAAGAAAAGAAATGCACAGTTAAGGAAATCCTTATTGCACCAATTGATAATAGAATGCGCAGTCACTGAATGTGTGAATAAATTCGAGCCAGTGCCAACAGGCTGGAACATGAAAGAAATGCCACGAGGGTAAGTTGACTTATTTAACGTCTTGCACAGTCCTCTACCAATAAGACAGCAGTAACAGCTGGCTCTATGAATCTGCGCGCTACAACTACCCTAGATGTCCTGCACCAGTTATGCACTGACAACATGAGCGTATGTTAACACGAACGGCCTTTTGCCGCTCGTGCTACGTGCAAGACATTGCACGTAGCAGCAATAAATAGGCTAGCGATGATTCAAACTTATGTTTCATACTTCTGGTTAATTCAAATTTAAAAATTTTGGTTGTCCCACTATGCTTTTAATGTATTCATAAGCCACTTAATTCGAACGGCGTTTTTATGGATTTCATACTTTTTGTTCTCGCGGCCCTGTTGAGTGCGCTTCTTTCCGAACAATGGCGCACTGCAGTGATGCAACACCCGTGGAGCTTGCTTCCTTGCAGTGCACCAGTGCTCGATGAGAAGCGCACTCAACGGGGCTCAAGCGGGCACAGATGAGCTATGAAAACTGATACCAGGCAAAAATTTCCATAGCAACTTGTACGAACGCTGCGACGTGGCAGCATGGCATAGGCCCACGTCACAGTGTCCACGCAAGTTGCTATGAAAACTGCCGCGCCATGCCCATTTTCATCACTGATGCGTCCCTTGCTTGATAGTCGTGCATTAGGCAACTTCTTGGCCTGATGAACAAACTTAATTTTGTTTTGAGTTGTCATCTGCTATCTCAGCAGTCCACGATAAACAACATCTTTGAGGGATACTATGCCATACATTTCACGAATGTTTTATGTGTGGCATACCTGCTTATCATCAGTAGGCCTATGCACAAATATCTGCTTTGTATGTGTAGCCATTCATATGGCGAATCATAATGTTATCTTGCATCATATTTAGATAAATTTCTAATAATTCAAACTTCTGATAATTCAAACAAAATTCGTGGTTTCCTGGAGTTCGAATTAATGAGAGTCGACTGTAATTCCAGTGTTTCGGCCCAGACAGTCAGCTCTCCTGACCGGCTAAACCACTGGCTTTCTCGGTTGTAAGAAATAGATGTAGTAACAAACAAAAGGCTCACCTCATGTCAACTAGTGGCAGGAAGTCCATTTCATAAAGTGGCTTAAGGCTTGGAAGGCTGTACACAACAATGTTACCATTTGCAATATAGCAGACCAGGCATGCTGTGTCTGGAATGCAAAAAAGGTGCATTTGAGGTTAAGTATATGAACACACTTACTACCTATTGGATTTTCACAAATATTCTACTATTGCAATAAAAGAAACAAACTGGAGAGATATTTGTGAAAAAAAATATATAACCAGGTAATTTAAAACTACTAAACACCTGAGGCCTCGCCAAAATACTTGAGAAAGGGTATTTCGGCGTTTTCTTTGTGGTCTCCAATTTGCCTCAAAACTGACCAAATGCACCACAAACATTGCTGAATTAGTAACCTGAATATTAATTAGGCCAGAATAAATTTTTATTTGCAGAGTAAATTTACAATTTTAATCCTCATTTTTTTTTTTTTTTTTTTTTTAGATTTTTTACAGGCAACCATGAAAAAGTGATGCCAGTGCCAGGTAGGGGTTCACTCTTTGAACTGTAGAACATTTTCCCCAAGTGATTACAAGCAGTTGGAAGGTGTCAAATGAATGCTTCGAAAGCTCGCTCCAGCACCCGCGCAGCAGCATGAAACAGTTAATGCTCGCCATATACTTTGTTTTTTAGGCTGCCCGCTCAACCTGCAAGCCTGCCTGCCACCGACGTCACGGCACTGAAAAGCGCAGGTATATATATTTGAATGTTGGTTTTGGCCTCAGCTTCATTTGCCGATTTCAGAATAGTAAGTAATTTTAAATTTCACGATAATGAAGAGCATACCAGAGAGGGTAAAGACTGGGAATTCGGAAAATATAGTTAGTTGGGGTAGCTAAGAAAAAATATCCGGAGTACCCCTTTAACGGGACGTTGAACTCCCAAAGAACATTTTTGTAAAGTGCCTGGATGGGACATGTACAGTGCAATCCACTTATACCAGATATAACGATGTACCGCTTATAACGATCAGTTTCTAGAGCTTCAAAACTAGAAACAGCCAGCGTCTAGTTTAGATAATCGGTTATAACGACTGAATTTTTGGGTTTTCTCATTATCATAAGTGGATTGCACTGTATATCACGAAATGAAGTATTTCAAAATTCTTTTCCAAGTCTAGATATGTATTGCAAATTTTGGATGGAAAAGAAAGCCCCGTTCAAACAACCCAGGGCTCAATATTTATTCATATATTTGAAGTACCCACCAACAGCCAAAGGACTGAACAGTAGTGCACTAGAGCTCTCAAACTTCTCTATCTCAGGAAACTCCCGTCGCTTTTGATTTATGTCCCAAGAACCCCTCCCAGTTTTGGCATTGCTGCCATAAAGCAGTGGAAAAGTCTACGGCCCCCATTGCCGTAAAAGTCTACAGCATGTTGTTATGCACCACTAGGTGGCTCGGATTTCCTAAAATAATACTTAGTGAAAAAAAAAAAACAAAAAAAAAAAACGCTTCACTAAGGGGCAGCAACGGTCAAGGAAATTTGGGAGTTTGGGGAACCCCTGAGGGGACCCAGCTCGAAAACCCATGCACCAGAGCAATTAAAAAAAAAAAACGATCTTCTGCCAGGCAGAAAACCGGCTTCCAGTTTCCTTCCTCCCACTCCCTCTCGCACTTTTCTCTCCTCCTCTCCCCAAGGGCATGCCTTAGAGCTACTTCCCACAGAAAGGGAAAGGGTCTCCTTTCTTGAATGAAAAGGGGGGGGGGGGGGGGATTAAAAAAAGAGTATACTCCTTGCTGGCTGCTCGTGGCCAGTCCACGGGCCACGACTCACCGATGCTCTTCATGGAGAGCACCTCCGTGCAGACGACGAAGGAGGTCTCGGTGAGGGTGGCCTTATACAGGCAGGTCTGGGAGGGCAGGGCAACGATGCGGGCCTGCTTCTCGGAGGCCAGGACCGCAAACTGGGCGTCCCGGGGCTCCAGCGACTGCGAGCTGGTGGGAGAGACCCGGGCCCGGCCGCCGCCGCTCAGGGTGGAGCGCAGCCGCCGGTCCTCCCGATCCCTAGAGTCCGTGCGGTCCTTCCACTGCTCGCTTGAGGGCAGCATCAGCAGCCCGTTGCCGTCCAAGAACGAGATTGACAGGATCGGGCCTTTCAGCCGAAACATGCTGCCTGCAATGGGACAAGGCAGAGGGGACCCTGTCAACGCGACGGCGGCGCTATGGCATTTGTAGAGGGTTTGTCTGCTAACGCGAGTGAAGAATGCGGTGTGTCTGCTACGAAGTGCCGTTTTGCAGACGGGAATGAAATGAGAAAACGCTGTACTTTGTCTGCTACGAACCGAGCGCCATGGCAAAGCGAGATCGGATCCGGGCTTAAATTGCAATTGTCCGCTATTTTGCATCACATGCTTCCGTTTGCAAATCTCGAGTTGTGTCCTCCGCTGCCGTACACGAGCTGACATCGACCAGTGGACGAAGAAGGACTAAGGGCAAGCTTAGCTTAGCACCCGAGAGGCCACAAGACCTCTCTCGCAATTTGTATGCTGGCGAGACTTCCTAACCAAAATACCGCCCTATTGCAGACGTGCGATTGGGTCAAAAATGTCTCATTGGCCGATTACGCTCGAGCCGTGGTGCTGCCTCCGATCGGCGGCCAAGAACGCTCTTGCCGCAATCAAAATCTGACCCCTAGAGCAAGTCTTTGACCGGCACGTTCGACGCGTCCTCAAAAGACGTCCCTCGATTTTTCCCCCACACCGCCAAAAGTATTGTGCCGTTGCCTGCCGAAAACCTGGCAATGGCACAGCTGCAGAGCTGGTGGCTCGCTCTGCAGTCAGACGGTCTACGGGAACCAAAGCAGACGCGAGAAGGGACGCCGCAACGACATTGTCTGCTCATAGTTTTCACCGGCAATCCTACTTCCAACCACCGGGATCGCGACATCCAACCACCGGGATCGCGACATTTAACAACACGACGCACCGGCTTCTGCGATGCAATTTGTTACAACTTTGGGAATGATTCCAGTGCATGGGTCGGACAAAACATTAAACACACCAGCCGAAGATCCATTCAGGCACTGCAGCCTCGGCGACTTCGGGACTCCGAAGGAATTGTGCGCACCGGAGTTTCGGCAACGGTGGACCGACCCGTCACTGACCCCACAACCCATTGCTGAATCTCGAGATTCGACAGATAACATAAGAACGCCACGTAAGAACTGCAGAAAGGCTCGCCCACAAGAAACTCGCCTCTGCCCAACGCGTGGAGGCACGTCGGAGTTGGGCAGAGCTTTGTCTTTCAGAGCATAAACCTTCAAAGGAGGGCACCGAAAGGCACTCCCCTCCCGCTTAGAGACGTCAGAAAAATGGTGTGTTTGTAACGAGGGGTGCATTCCACTTTTCATACATTTAAAGGGCCACTGAAAAGAAAAAAATCTGTTTTTTTAAACAGCCTGATTGGGACACGCGTGTCAAAAAATAAATTTACGTGCAAAACATTTTTTTTTTTTTAGAGCAATATTGACGGCACGAGATTTATTTTAGTTGCGTCCGAGCTATGCGCGCAAAGTCCATGACGGTCACAGAATGGTCATTCACTCTTTGCACCACAACAAGATGGTCATACACTCTCTCCACCTCAATGTGATGACCACAGCTTCATACCTCTCCTCCACGCATCCAAAATGCCAAGAGAGAAAACGAGTGGAAAGACGACTACCGACTAAACTGCGTTTCGCGCCGTCAATATTGCTCTAAAAATTTATTTTCCATGTAAAATTAATTTTTTGACAAGCGTGTCCCAATTAGGCTGGTTAAAAAAAGCTTTTTAATTTCAGTGGCCCTTAAATGCGGTGCACTTTACAAAAAGGAGAACTTCCTTGTGTTCATTGATATGCTCTGGAGAAGCGGCATAGCGGGAGCTGCTCACAGTCACACTAACTCAATAGGTAGTATGATTCGGACGAGTAAGAGTTTGTTGCGCCGGGCACATGGTCGGGTGTTGGGCGTAAACTACCCAGCTCTGCCACGCACCCACGCCCCTCCCTACCAGAAAAGGAAACAAAAAAACATGAGCAGTACACTCGTTTGTTTCCCGCTTCATGTTTATTGCGCGAGGCTTCTTCCGGCACTAGCATGCACCCTTTTGTTGTACACGTGCAGAAACCCTTAACGTTAACTTGGCCATATGTCGGCACAGCATAAACAATGTGTATAAGTAAATTGTAATGTCCCGGAGACTCACCGCTCGGAGATGCAATTACAGGCTGCTGGTGCCTAGATTCATTGGGGACAGTGAGCGAGACAGCAAGTACAGATCCAAGGTGGGTGCCAACCCAAAGGCTAGGGGAAGTTGATGTGTCTGGGAACAGAACGGAGCAGCAGTGAGCAGACAGACAACCAGCAACGGAGAAGGAAAGCGGGCCCTCCCGATGCCCATACCCACCACTCTTTCGACAGAAGGCTTCGGCAAAGCTAAGACAGAGGATTGCCTCCGAACTAATGTTCTCTAAACTCGACATGCTTGAGCTTCGGGACCGTGAGAAAGAACTGTCCAGCTTATCTGGAATGAAAGAGAGCCATGGCACTTAGGGCTGCACTGTGAGGGCTGCTCAAAGGTAATAGAGTACGTAGTGACTCGGCAAATAAAATGTGTGCTGCACGACACGGCTATCGTAAACGCGAAATCGGTGCTTTTTCGCAAAACATTTGTACAGGGAATGTACAAAGACCAAATATTGTTGCCAAAGTCTGAGGACCTTCCAGCACCCTACCATAAAATACCGAGCATGCGTCCATGTTTCAATAAGTGCCCATTCGCCACTTCTGAAACATTTAAAAGGACACTAACAGCCCAAAAATGCTTTTTTATATTTATTGCAAGGCAATTTAATATAGTGTCTGGAGACTACCCAATCAATATTTTGCTGTAAAGTCACATATATTTCTAATAAAGTAAAAAAAAACTTAACTGCTTGAAACCGAAACACGAGTACGGGAGCTCATGGCCGTAAATCACGTGGCTACACCACACCAAATTGTTTTCTTTTTTCTCCACTTCTCTGGTATTTCAAGCAGACGATGACGATGACGAACTTGCATGAACCGTTTGGCGTGCGATTGTTTCGCACTTATATCCCTTTTGTTCCATGTTCTCTGCTTCAAGATCAATTGGCCGGTACCACGAACGACAGTTCTGAAGTAGCGACCCCACGTCCGTCGCAACGTTGGTTCGTTGTGCGCCGCTTCGCATCTTCCAGCCCGCGGTACGTCACCATATTGAGAAAGACGTCTACACATACTTCCTGTGATCCATGCAACATTTTTTTTTTCTATCAACATATCTGCAGCTTTTTGGAGGCCACAAAAAAATGGGGTTCATATTCTTTTTTTATTTTTAATATTAAATGTGCGTCTTAGATAATTCGTGACTTTGAATATATTTGATACATGTAATTTGAACACCTTGTAACCATGGAAACGAGAGTGAGCGCGACTGAAACTGGCCAATTCTCCACCGGCAGTTTTCGGGCGGAAATAAAAACAAATTTTGAGCCGCAAATCGTGTTCTGGGCAGTTGGGCTTTTATAGGACATGTTCAAATAAAAACCTCAGCGAGCATAAATACACTATTGTTTTCCTTTAAGCAAAAGACACATCAAGCTCCCACCCCAAACTTCTAAGCACACCTATAGCTAACTGAGATGCTTCTCCACGTCAGCAACTTTACCAAGCATACAGGTGCAATGCAATAAAGATTGACACACAAGCGTCAATATACTAAGCAGTGAAGCCCACGCTACCTTGTGCCCCTTCTGCATTTTTGCTCTCAGACCTAGCAAGCACCCATCCCCCAGTTTTACAAAATAATCCCACTTTTTCGGCTGGGCATTTACTCTGTATTTTACGGTAGACTGGTTGTTCTTAAGAGAGCCTTTCAATGATGCGAAAGAAGTGGCAAAAAGCTGCAACCGCTTGTCTGTGTTGACTGTGTTGCACCCTACACCGTGCCATGGATGCAACTTGCTGATAAACCAGCCATAATATGGCTAGCAAGAGGTATCAGTTGCTTTTTATAGGCTGTAGCAGTTTTTCAAACAGTTGGCAACATAACCTCTGTCAGATAAATTGTTTTGTAAAAAAAAAACAAGAAACTTTTTAAAAAACATTAGAAGTTAGCAGCCACGATACAAATGAAATCATTTTTTTTAATTCTCGTTAAGTTATTAGCACGAAATCAAAAATTTTAGGAGTTATAAAAGTGACGTTGTTAACTGTGTTATTGAGATAGCAGATATGCCACAGAGAATAGACTAAAAAGAATATGATCTTTATAAACACTAAGCACAATACTTTGCATAACCTATAGTAGTAACACAGATAACATACCAACACACTCTAGTCATGCTGAACAAGCATCGACACAACAAATACACCATACGTAGTCGCTAGCAGTCACAAACATGCCATTGCACCAAACAAGCCTAACGACATACAGACGAGACCGATTGCTGGTCAGACGTATAGAAATGGCCCAATGGGTTTTGCATACATGAATAAATTAACCTGTGCCACAGGCTCAAGTAAGAATAAAACAGCGGTTGAGTATTAAGAGTTCTTCTCGAACTCGAAAAACTAAAGTTGACTCACTTAAACATTTACTTAAGACGCGCAGTGTGATTAGAAGGGACCAGAAGTTTATAGACAGCACCAGCTGCCATGCAACATACATACATAGCGAGACCATTCGGCAGAAAATGTGGTCTACACAAAAGTGAATTCGGTACTATCAATAGTTCACGACTGATAGTATCAGATACCATCTTCGGGAACTGGTCATTAGACAGGAAAGGTTTTCCACGGAATTAAAAAAATTTATCGGTAGCTGCTTGCCGCAAGTGCATGTTTTGCTTTGGATATGTTGCAAAATAAGAAATGTATGGATGCCCCTCCCATAAAGCCATCCACTCTTTCCTTAATAAGGTAAATGCTGGAGAAGGCGTGAGTGGAAAGCAGGACAACCAATCAAGGCAAGCAGACAGCTTTGTAGGAGCGGCTTCTTTTCTTCTTATGCTGCAACAGACTATGGATACTAAGGACACCATAGCATGCATGCGACACAAATTACGAGCACAAAGCTTGCAATGGAGCAATACCCAGTTTCCCCAGTTGAGGTCACAACACCAAAAGTGCCACACAAAGCCTAGCTAAACATTCAACCTTGTGCAGTAAGACAGGTGTGGCATACCATCTCGTTGATAAGCCACACTTGGAGACTTCAGACCTTGTCGTTCATTTCTAGGTGTTTGGGGGTTCCCTAACGAGAGAACAACACTTACAACTGGGTTTTCATGTGTGCGCACCATTCAACAGACATACATAAATGCAACTGTCTGACTTGAGCAGCTTGCTCTAGTAGTCTAGGTATAACACCCATAACACCCCCAATTACTATGTTTCTGCAGATAACACTTTGTTCTTAAAAAAAAAAAAAAAAAAAAAAAAAAAAAAAAAAAAAGAAACACAAATGTCGTATAATGTCGGCAATATTTTTCCGACTCAAATTTGATAAAAACAAATTTAGTTTCTAGTAATTCAGTAATACAGCATGCTACAAAAATGTTTTTGCTCATCTTATCGTCAGTCAAGTGGCTATGAATAAGGCTAAAATAGACATCACCTAAAATAGTAGCAATTCACTCTCACACATACACTAGGCAGCATGTCAGTCCAAGTAAAGTGTGCCTAATGCTTAGGTACATGACATTTCAGTAATACTATAGGATCACAAAGAAACAGAAGTCATTTGTCCAACGGTAGAATGCGACTCTTTGCATACAATGCTGAAATATTGCATGCCACTCTGAAGCCTGAGCTGTCCCAAGTGTAGAGCAAGTAACTCTAGAAAGCCAAAGCATCTAAAGGACATGAGAACCTGTCCCAGTAAGAGCAAGATGTCTATGAAACTTGCTAGCAAACAGAGTGCAAGTCGGGGCCTGTCGCCCCTCACTAAGAATCCCGCAACTGGCGTTGCAGCAGCATCGGTGCAACTGTGCGCCAGGCCCCGAGAAACTAAGTGAGAACATGGGCAATCTCAACAGCCACCTGATAATGTGTTGAAACATGGAGGTTCCTCAGTGGAAACCAAGTTGGGGAGTTTCTGAAGTTTGCGTGACTTAGTTCGACGAGAGTCTGCCTGCCGCCGAGACTGAGCTGACTGGGCCACTGCCATCGGACTATTGCAAAGACCGTTAATCTAAGGGGACAAATGCCAGGTCAAAGGTCAATCAACACGCACTTCAACAATCAACACTCTGCCAGGACACAAGGAAACATATACTCTCTCAGAGTGCACCAGCAGTACCACAAGAAATCGTACAGATGGCAGTTCCCTACTATCTAAAGAGTTAAGTAGCAAAACACAATGCATCTTGCACCAAACAAGCAGCTGAACTTTGAGCAACCCAGGATACAGGCTAGGCTTACCCAAGACAAATTCGGGTATTTCCCCTGCACTCTTATAGTAAGTTACAAGTCAAGAAGGTAGCGGCAAATGCCACTCAAAGCGTTTCATATATCCCTCCACCACCTCCGCATCCAATAGCGTCCCATTGTTTCCGTGACGTCGTGGCCAACGTGGGACAGGGTTTTGCCTTCCTGCAAATATTTGCTTTATCTTTCGACTGTGACTTAGCATTGTGGAAGCCACGAGAGGGAGATTAGAGTTTTCCCCCTCCGATGGAAACAAATACAACTTAGGTTCCCCCTCCGATGGATACAAAGGCCACTTTCAGGGGCTCGGTTCCCTCTCCAATGAATAGAAAGGTAGCTTTCTTAAAAAGTGGGGGTCGAGGACAAGCTGGCATCACTCTGTAGCCATTATCTATTCATTGAAGCAGAACAAGGGGCGTTTCCAGTGAACTCTTCTTTCGACTGCGGATGGATTTGAAACTGGCGCATCACGCTTGTGGGAGGAGCTTCTCCTACCTTCTTGACTTGTAACCGACTATAACAGGCTTTGCGCTTTCTTTGTGCCCAACTACCTCTCCAATGTCCATTCTGGCACACTTGTATGTGCTACGAGTGACATCACTGATCAGTTTTAGTGCCACAGGAGAATGCTTCTGCACATCATGGTTGAGCGTAATTACAGTCAGCTCCTCGTAACCATTACTACGTTCCCAGGGTATTCAAATTTTGCGGTTTGCGTGTGCATGAGAAACTAAATCTCCGAGCCCTCTGCGGCAACAACGTGGGGCACTCTGAAAGGTGTTTCCCCGTGACCAGCACCAAGACCGAAACAGTCCCTCCCCCCCAGAGCCGTAATGTGAGGTGCTACCTACCTATAGACCTCTGTCCGAGGGTAACAGGAGGGCACACAATTAGCAAGAGCAGGAGGCAGTATGTGCAACGAGGGAGGGTGCAAGTCGACAAGGAAATGAAACAAAAAAAAGCACACAAAATGCTGGTAAGTACACACCACACGCACCACTGTTACTGTGGGTCGCAACTACAATGTGGCACAACGTGTCTCTACAAGCTTGGCGGGAAAACAAGGCCGGGTTTCACTGGGGATTACGGTGGGCTTGGCTGGTACATAGTCTGGGGTGAATGAGCAGGGAACCTTTGGGGAGGCTACCAATTGCCACTGTCTGATCACGAATGCTTCTGGTCCTGCCGCAGGATGAGATATATATGCATCCGGTAGACTGCAACCACTACGCACGTTCACACTCTCATCGGCCTGAAAGAAGTGCTTCTCCGAATGCAAGTCAGTGCACCATGGTGATGCAGTGGTGCACTTACCTCAAGCATCAAGATTATTTGCTCAATCGGGCTAGCTTTCAAGGATGTACGAATAAAGCTGTGCCAATATGAAAACTGTGACCCATTTTGAAATATATTTCAGTCTAAAGGAACACTCCAGTTTTTCTACAATGCAGCAGGTGTCTTAGAGAAGCACCCTTTACAGGAGGTAGGCACACACATATTTATTCCAACGTGCCTCTACCGGACTCTCCAAGACCAAAGGATTATGCAGACTTTTTCATAGACGAATGGGGCAAATAAAAAAAGACCACCAAAGATGAGGCATGCCCTTACTAAAGAGACGACTATAGACACATATAGCTTCCCATGAAACAATTTGTTGAGAGGGATATTTTTGTAGCTAGATCTAACAAGGAATGAAGCAGCAAGCAACACTGAAATTTCAGGCCAAAGGTTCCCCAGTCACACAGACGGGCACACAGGTGTCATGCTGATAAAAGTTAGAAACATTCCCGTGAAGATCAAGCTGAAGGAGTGCAAAGGGACACCCTACTAAGGGTCAAAAGCTAAGCTTTTGGTTTTCGCGGAGATGCGACAACCTCAATCGCGTCTTGAAAATGCCGCGAAAATTTCATTTCACCTTCATGGACGAACGTGCTAAGAGAACAAAGATGCTAGTGTAATTATTGATCATGCTGATAGTGACACAGCAACAAGGCCAAAGCATGCTGGATTACTTTTCTAAAATTAGGTATTAAGGAAGGTCATATGGGAACTAATGACTAAAAATACACAAAGAAGTGCTGAGCATAACCACAAGAATGCAGTGCAAGCTAGCACAAAATTCACAAAAAGGATGACACCAAAATTGTAAAGGAAAAATGAGAGATCAGGTGATATTAGAATTGACAAAACAAAAGCATATCTTCAGCTGGGACTGCAATCGACAAAATACTATTGCTCCACCAGGGATGCACAACAAAAAGTATGGTTTTTCTTGACCTATAAACACTGCAAGTTAGGCTATGTTCTTTTTTGTGAGTTGTTTTAAAATTCCATAAAAAGAAATTGGCTGCCAAGAGGCTTATTTGCTAGGCTGCCATTAAATAAATAAAATGACAAAATATTAAGAGATCCATACAGAGTACAAAATATCCATACAGAGCACAAAATTGTTAGAAAAGCTGGGTTAAAGTGAATGACATGCAGTACAGTGTGAAAAATACATGTACAGTCTCCTGCAATACGAAAGACCCACTGGGGGCGCGTGGCCAAGATCGCGGGGGTGCTGCACGCTCTCCAGGTGATTTCATTCCGATTCGAGGGAGGACTCTCACCCACAGCTCAACCGGGCCCAAACGCGCTTAAAAGTGTCTGGTATCGGTATAGCGGAAGAGCGCGCTTGATCGGCGTCGTGCCCAGAGATGTGCTTTCGACGGCTCGAAACAAACTAGTCACCACCGTTTTTAAATACGTTGGCATTTATTGCCCCAGTGCATAGCCGCCCTTTGTTCGAACGATCACGATTCAGACGGGATTGGTTTCCTGAGGCTGCAGCACGGCTCCCATCGTGCTCCTTCGCTTCTCTGTTAATTTGCTTGTTGCACTCACTTTTCCTCGCTCTTGCAGGGGATGTGATGGTCGCGACAATGCGCATGTGCCATCGTGCATCTTCAAAATCGTTAGGAAGCACGCGCATGCGGGCTTGGTCGTTGCGTCGTTTGCTAGCTCACAGCCACTTTGAAGCTGCGCTCGCATTATAAAATTAATGCAACTACAGATATCTAAGTGGCACACACAATGTTTGAAGGTTCGAGAAGCTTCCTGCTCGTCGTAGTTCAGTGCAAGTCCTACATCTCGCAAACGCAGAGCGAACAGCAAGCGGACCGTAGGCGGCGTTCGAGAGAAGCTATGGTGGCTGCATCCAAAATTGCCGACGCCCGGAAAAACGGACTGGCTCTCCAGAGACAAAAGTGTGCTGGCCGCTGCGAGGTTGGGGCTCCCGTCCTTCACTGAGTCGAAACCCCCGAGCCAAATGCTAATGCATTTCGTCGAGAATAGGCGTAAGGACAGCGGCAATTTCAACATAATTTTTTTACCTGTTGTGCCTGGTGTAAAATAATGAAACAGGCACTGCCAAATAAACAAATATTTATACCCGGATCCTACATTTAAAAGATAAACTGTGTCGAAGAGCACGTTCGTTGGTTACAGGGATGGCACAGATCTCGTGCTTTAACAGTCAGAATAATCGCCTTGGCTCAGGCCGGTCTTTCTCGGACAGCAATTCCGGTGTTAGGCGGCACGACGGCGTGACACTGACAAACTGCTCTCTGCCGCAAAACCGAAACCAGAAGCTGATAAGCGTGGGATGCGCTTTAGCTGAGCCCCGAGCGAGTGCTCCCCTTGGTTTCGAATAGAATCACCCGGAGTGTGCGCAGCGCCCTCGCCAGCCATTGCCTTGTCAACGCGCTCCAATCGGGTCTCTCCTATAGACTACATTGGTGCATTTTCTAGATGTATACCACACTGAAACGACTACATACAATGGTACCCTAGTACGACAAGCACAAAGGAAGCCAGCTTACTAGTCTAGTGCAAACACTTGCAGCCTACAGTTACTGTATATCTTTGACAGGCACCAGCTGATGGTGGTAACAAACATTATCGCACAGCAGCCCATCGTTAGGTCATGTGCAAAAAAATGATATGAAATACTGCTTTGCAAGAAAGAGAAACAAAAACCTGACCTGGTCTGCGCTTGGTGAGCGACAGCGCTCCTGCTCCTGGAGGCTATCATTCGTAGGCAGTATTGCATTCCGTTTCGGTGATCGTGCAACCCTCTGATATGGGTCAGAGGAACCTGAAAGCATTAATTTGACATTTTTAAGTGCCCTTCTTTTTTGTTACGAGCAATACTGAAATACGCAAATTTTTCACACATGCCTGCATTCCTCACTTGTAAACACAAATAACAAGGATGAATATAAACTTTCCAATATAAAGAACTATATCTTGATGAAAAAGAAAACATCACTGGCAACATATTTTGTAGTAATGCATTAGTAATATACTAGCATCATAATTCAAAAATAGTTTTGCTGATGAAACGAAATCTAATTATAAAGACGGTTATTTTTGGCTTACAAGTTCTGCGGGATGAAAGGCTTTTAGGAAGTGCACAATTGATGATACCACCTACAGATGGCACTTTGCACTTTTTTTTTCTCACTCAAACAGTCCAAGATGGCAGTTTCTCTATGTGAAAAATTTATTGGAGCTATCCCGGACACTGTCACTAATTAGAACACCCTTACTTCTCTCCATGACTTCGCTCATAGAAAGCTTAGCACTTATGACAAACCTCGACTACCATATATTGCTGCGTATAAGTCGGCTCCGAATACAAGTCGACCACCCTAATTTCTGGCCCTCTCAATAATTTTTTTTTTTTTTTTTGCGAGTAACGCAAAATTGATTAAAAAATGTTTATTCACACACGGTGCACGCGGCACACATAAGAGGCCTTAGGCCTCATAGTCGTCATCGTCACTGGTCAACACAACAACCCAGTCGCTGCTCTCTGTGTCTTGAGGGTCACTGGGGCCGGTCGGGTGAAGCAGCGCCGAGATGGAGCACTTTGAAAATGCTTCGCGGACCATGTCGGCTGGCAGTCCATACCATGAGGAAGGGTGGCAGCTTGTGGCTGTCCGCTGTACAACACAGCATGGCGGTGAAGCGGTTGTGCTCGTTGCCTGTCGTCAGCAAGCGCACCTGCCGCTCTCCCTTCTCCGAGACAGTCCTCCTGCTGGACATATCGAACCAGACCGGACTGGAGTCTGGTCGGCATTGCCGATCTGGCCAAGCATGCAACCGTTTTTCGTTCGCAACTCGGAGACGTAACGGTGAAATTTCAGCCGCTTCTCCTCGTACGCATCCAGCAGGTGCTGACACACTGTTTCGTTTCTGTCGATGTCCAGCTCGATGGCGACGGCGCGTGCCTTTCCTTTGATGTCGTCGTACGACACACTCAGGCTCTTCGATCGTTGCTTGTGCACCCATTCTTTCACTGCTTCTTCAACTGCTGGGTACTGTTCGCGTTTGGGACCGTGGAACGACCGGCGCGTACCAGCACACGCAAAATGCTTGTCCCGCTGCTGGCGCCATCCGCTTACGCACTTTTCCGAGACTCCAAAGTTGCGTTCGGCTGCAACACTGTTTTTTTTCTTTGGCGCACAGTATCACTTTGCATTTAAAAGACGTGCTGCACTGATGGTGTGGCTGCGGGGGCATTCTTGTTACCACTGAGAAAATCAACAAAGGGAAGTTTGGAAGTGCAACTGCCGCACCGCAAAACGAGCATGCGTATGACTGATGGAGGCTCTTTTACATTAACTGTCTCAAGGAGCGAGCTGACGTCATCAGTTGGAAGTGTGAAAACGCCTCCTAGTTTCCGCATTTTCACCTTCGGTTCCATTGGCTTGCGCGCGTCGACGGGGCTCCCACTCGCTGCTGCGCCACGGCCTCGGAGATCCCGAAGCGCGCGCACGCTAGTACGTAGCAAACGGCAAAGGGTGCGGACGAGCAGACGACAAGGGAAGCGGAAGAGCGGCTTGCATGCTTTCGCATTCAGAACTCATACGAAATGCTTAGGGGTACCTCGAGCTTTTTTTCTTAGCCTTTCTTCCTTGAATATCTAGGTACAAATCCCCTACATTTTTCCCCACAGAGTTCACATTTCAGTTTCGCAAGCAGCAACCAATGTGTTTCTTTATCGATGGATGATTTCTATGTTGTTTAAACATATTATTAAATGTTAAAATCTGTTTATACTTCAGAAAACAAAGTTTCTTGGTCGTTGTCTTTGACAAGTAATACAAACCTATCCTTAAACCGCGAAAAAGTCCCTAGGACCTGCATTCGGTTGCTAAACAGTCATTTCTGACGTTTCCGACTCGCAGATAGCCCGACTCCGCGTATTGGTAGATCACTCGGCGTATTAGTCGACCCCCCTAATTTCAGATGCTCACTTTCTAAAAAAGAAAGGTCAACTTATATGCGGCAATATATATATATATAATATCAATGCTAATGTGTTTTTTTTTTTTTTTTTTGCAAATAACATTTATTTTTTGGTCATGTTCAATATTTTGTGAATGATTACTTGCTTTTTAAAGTGTTTTCTTCGTGCTTGCTCTTGTTAATTGCATCGTTAAGCAATGAATCAACTGTCCATGAATGAGTATTTTTCCCCCCTATTGTGTAAGTATTTATTCCATTTTGTTCAGGCCTTGCATAAACTGTGTGTGCATGATTGTTTCCTTTGCTTTGTTTAAACACCTTTCCACCTTTTTTAAAGCCCTGTAAAGGGCTAAGAGTATCAATAAATAAATAAAAAAAAAATTTATCTGGAGAGAGTTTTTTGCTTTGCAAGCCAAATGAACAATGTTTCGGTTGATCCGACACATCTCACCCAGTCTCTTTTTTAGAAGAGGAATCAACTTTCTTCACAACACATCACTGCCTTGGCAAAGTTTTGCACTGCCGATCAGATGAAAGCGCTCTTACCGTACAAGTCAGGAGTGCCCAAGTTTAGCACGCATGTTTTTGTAGACAGGTCAACAATGACTAATCCACACTCATTGCCATAGGCTAATCTGTAAAAAAAGAAAAGATTTGTAAAAATTCCACTTAGAACCACGATTTCATTTTGAAAAATCGTATGTGTCCTTTGCCTTTTCTGAAATTTTCTTCTTTACCACGACAAACATTTTCCCACTAATTGCTTCATTAACAAGATGCCTTCTCGACTTAGCGGCATTTTCCAATGAAGCGGCACTGGTAGTTAACCTATACTCTGTGTCACTAGTTGTCTGCAGTACAGGCGAAGGCGACGCCAGGCAAAGAGAGAAAGGGCGAGCACTAGGAAGGCAACAGGGGAGAGGAGCGCAAGAGGAGAAAGGGAGAGCACTAGGTATGTTAGACAGAAGAGGGTTCTCTCCTCTTCCCCAGCCTTCCTAGTGCTCGCCCTTTCTCCCCTCGCTGGCATTGCTTTTGCTGGCACTGCACGCAACTAGTGAGATGGAGTGTAGTTACACATTTTTATTAATCTATCCAAAACGTATGGACAGTCATTTAATGGTTACACATTCCTTGTCACGTGTAGGGCGAAACCACTGCAGCCTCAGTGGTCTGCTATTTTTCTGCAATACAGCTGTGCACATGGAACACCACGATAAAGGGCAACTCAGCTCAATTCCGAAGATTTCGGGATAATGAGTGATTTCGAATTAAAAAGCCCTAGTAAAAGACACTACGTCATTTGCTTCGCGAAAAATGGGATATATATTTTTAAATCTAATTTTAAACACGAGTGGAAATCGAAACCGAAACTTCGGCTCCGTCCGGCAACATTGGCCTCGGGCCGCCAAGTACATGGCCATCACGTGGTACGAGAGGTCACGTGATCCTCGGCCCAAAAACGGGCGGGATGGGGGCGGGCGGGCGTGCGGCAGGCGCGAGTGTCGTCTGCTCCGCACTCTTCGCCACGTTTTGGTGTCTACGGCATTCGACGACGTCTGCACAACTGCGGCATAAGTCTGGGACTCTGCGCATGTGGTGTCCATAGTGTGGACGAAACTCCAAGAGGCAATAATCACAAACGGTGAGACGACGACGGTGGTTGTGACGCGGAAGACGGCGGTAACGGCGGGACCACGGCGGGCGGTTGGTCTGCTCCCAAGAAGCGCGCTGCGCAGGCGTGTACGTCAATCACGTGGACACCGCTGAGCGCCGAGAGGCAACGTTGCTGACGTCACGCGCTACGCTCGATCGGAGAAGTAAAAACAAGCAAAAGGGGGCCATGTAGATGGCGTTTAGCTCAATGTTGGCTCCGCCCATGCCGTAGCCTTGACTGCGCTGTTGGTTGCGCCTGAATTCGCCCGCTCGAGTCAGCCGATTTCGGCAACTTGGTGAGTTGCAAAGTTTGCCGGACCGTTTAAGAAACATTTAGAAAGAACTGTGTCGTAATATTTGACGTGTGGTCTTCTTAGGTGATACTGAAGAGGACTGCATTGTTTTTTCAAAACAAAAAATGAAGCGGAGTTGCCCTATAAGTAAAAAGGCAGGCACGTATATTGCCATTTTTTTTAAAACGTGTCCTGTAGCAAGCCTCTGGCTATAGAAAGCATGTGTGATGTTCGTCCCCTAAACTATCACCTCTACATCCAAAAGCAATTCCCTATGCCAACATATGACTAGGAAACTTGGCATAAAGGTTACACTAACTTTGCAGCAAAATACGATTAAAAATTAGATACACAAGGACAAAGAAAGTGACACATCATTCCCAACGACTCATTAATCATACAACTGATTAGACTTCAATGGCACAAAAGAAAAAAAAGGTTGTAAAACCTGGAAAACTAGCTACTTCAGATAGAAAAGATTTTTCCAACTGAGAACATCGGTAGTCAGCAGAATCCGATGGACTGGATGGAAAGGTGGATGAAAGCAGCTGAACCCCTTCAATACGAACAGAAATTAAGGAAGAGGAGAAGATGAGAGCATACAGGGATGTCAGAGCACTGAGCTCTGGTTGGAATGATTAATGGGTAGACAGAAAGGCTAGCTGCCTTTGTCTTTACTGACAGTTCAAATGCCTAAAACACAGGCTTCTGGCATTCAAACAGACATTCCAACCACAGTTCGACGCTCTGAAGTCCACAGATGCTCCCATCTCCTCCTCTCCATCACCTAGCCAGTGCCCTAAACGCTCACACCTCAAACACACTACCTTGGAACGCATCAGACAATGGCGAGGGAAGCCCCTCTATCCCTTCGTTCAAGCATTGTCTCTCAGAAGTCCAACGCATAAAAGCATTCGGGGTTCTGAAAACCGTCCCTTTCCGATAGAGGGGGGAAACCAGCAACGCAAGTAACGACGACGTTGTGGAGAAAACCAGCGCAGGACAAAGAAGAGGCACAGGAGGAGCAACGTACAGATTGTATGTAGAGTTGACGCTGAGGGAAGTTATGTGACCCGGCGTCTCTCCACGGACCCACGGAAGCATGCACACCAGGGACGGCTGGAAGCCCGTCCCCCACTTCTGTGGCCCCGTCTTGACGGTCAGAGCGGTGTAGTGCTCGGACCCGGCCTGCAGTCGGAGAAAAGATGGCGGGGTAACTCGTCTGAGAATGCCCCTTGACAGCGCTGAGGCTGCGAGGCGGGGTCCATTGTTCTGGCAGGATGGGTTTCAACAGTATGGTGCCAAGTATATGCATCAATCAGTTGAAGGACTAAGTATAAGTAGTACATGTCTCAAAAAAAACCTCGCGGCACTACAGAAATCTATAGTGACAGACAGTGAGAATTCACAGGGAGGACCTTTGGCTGTCCAGCCTTTAGCATGAGCTTTCAATATTCCGTCTTACAGATACATCTGAAAACTCCGAGAAACACCTGCTGGTAAAATTTTGGTCAATTCGAATTTATCTGATGAACTTAGAATTTTGATGTGCCAATCCCCCCCCAACACACACACACACACACAAAGGTATTTTACAATTAATGGTTTAATCAGCGCATAGTGTCAATGGCCCTGGGAAAATGCCACCACACTTTTGTTTCCAATTTCGGTCAGGACAACAGGTCTTCATACTTTCGGGTCACGACAAAAGTCACCATTTATATTTCCAGTCCGGGTCATCCTATTTGTGCTTTAGAGGAAGGAGAGGTTGTGCTGTTGTAAAAGTGAAATCTATGGACCATAGAAAATGCATAAAGTAGAGAAGAGGGACAGCTGAAACTTCCCTATTACATGCTTTACCACTCTACCCCGTGCGGCCGCGGGTAGGTGGATGAGATAGTACGGAATGAATACAAGCTTCCCAGCGACTACCTCCAGGGGTTTATCGATATTAAGGTATCAAAATTTATCGAAGCAACACATGTGTGCAATTTTTGTAGTAGGACAAATTAGTATTGCCAGTAGTAATAGCACCAACGCCAAATACAATTGATGGAAAAATTAATTGATACAATCATTTTTTTTTGTCCAGCGTATGTTTACATTTGGATATTATTTATTTATATTTAATAAGAAACACTGCGAAATTAAACTCTGAATTTCGGAGAATTGGGAATCAAACAAAAATAAACTCCGAAAACACGGAACCCCAAGTAATGCGATCTTCTGAAAATTTCTATGGGAAAACGGCGGTCGACGATCTCTCGAATACATGGAGCTCTGTGGCACCGGAAACCGAAAACAGGCGAAAAAGGGCCCCATTTTTCCAATTGACAATTTTCAGAGAATCACTTATCGCTTTTGAACAAGATATTGATTCGTGCTTAAACTTTGCCATCTGGTTCGAACCTCTAGTGCTACCTTTGGGCGGAGGATGAGCGTTCGGCGATGCATATTTTATTTTCGCAATAAAAAAAAAACACTGCAATTTATTTTTGGGGGCACGCTGTACATGTTAAGCAGAGATGCCCTGGCTCTAACAACCTGCGTAAATTGTACATGACTGAAGATGTTTGCATATAGCAAGAATATTTATAAATCCCCTTTATTAGGTATAGCTGGACATCTCTATAGGTTTAATTTTAAGTCAAATGCGTCGTTCACTTGCCATCTCAATGTAGGCATTCGACTTTTGGAGGTCACAGTCAATAAATACAGTTAAATAAAAATGAACTTATCCTAGAAATGGACAAGTGGAAGCTTGGAAATGACCTTCAAAAGTTCAGCTGGCATTTCGCTTAAGCATGTTGCATTAGTGAAAGGCTTAGAGCGGCAGTTCTCTAACCGTTGTCCACAGGCCCCCACGGGTCCTTGGATGTTTGGCCGAAACCCCTATTCGCTTTAAAAACAAAATCTACTATTTTCACATGCCTACTTGAAATGAAAAATTCAATGTTTTACACAGCAAAGCCAGCAAGTATGCCAAAATAAATCAAATTTTGATTCATAGCTTGCGCAATGTTCAACTATCATCAACAACCACAATGTCGTGCTAGGAGGGAGAAAGAAAAACGTTGGAAGAGCCCGAGGCCAAAGTGCTCACCTTTTTACAAGTTTCATCCAAGGCACTAGGGCAGGAACCTTGCTGAGACGACTGACGCTGATACTCGCACTCCGGGGAACAATCGCCTTCATCGTCAACCTCGTAGAGTATGGGGGTCTCAAGCACCTGGACAACAGGATTGACCGATTCAGTGGTTGCTTTGGTTTTAATGGCACAAAGACTGCCAAGGTCAACTAAGAACATTAACTACAGTGGAGCCTCGGTGATACACCCCCAGTTAATATTTATAAAAACTATGACGACATCAGGGGCCCAACGTTTCAAAACCTGTTCGGCTTCTTCTTCGGGGGCAACTATGGAGGAAAGGAGCCGCAATCTTCTTTTCCCTCTATGACGGAGGCAAACGCGCACGATACCTTCTTCCTCTCTGGCCGTTTTTTGATGACACGTGGTGGAGCCCAGTCACATACACAGATGGCAGTGTGCCAAGAGCCCTATTAATGTTTGTTGACGTGGTCTGAATGTGCCAAGATTCAAGGAAGAGACTCCGGCGAGGGTTAGTTTCAATGTCCAGGATGCGTGTCTAAAGAAAATCAAGGCGGTCGTCATTTTTTTCACAGTGTTCAGCAACTGCGCTGCGCTCTTGATCGAAGTTGCACACATCAGCCTTGCGTTGACGAATCTGTTCATAATACTTCTTTGTTTTGCCGATGTACGAGGATGGGCACTCCCCGCAGACACCACACCTTGTGCTTTCTCTTTAGGGGGCCGATCTTTTGGTCGCAGCATAAAGCGTCCAATGGTTGAAATTGGCTTGTTTGGTTTGAAATTTGGTTTTGGGTTTGAAATTTGAAATTTGGTGTTTGGTTTGGAATTGGTTTGAAAATCACTAATTTCCAATGGCTGGAAATTAGCGATTTCCGTGCCAGCGCTTCACTTGTTACCTTGATGAAGGGGACACTGATGCGCGTGGTTGGCCGGCGTTTCATATCAACTTGCGACTGGCAGTGTTGTCAACTTCGGTTTTGACAACGGGCAATGTGGTGTATGAAGCTGCCCGTATATCCGTTCTTCTTGAGGTCGCAAATGATGGCTTTTTCTTTTTGTCGGTCAGAATCAGTCGAGCAAAGGTTCTTTGCCCTCGATAGGTGTGTTTTAACCACAGCTGCTTTATGACTCGTTGGGTGGTTGGAGTCAAATTATAGGTACCTTTCGGTGTGTGTTGGCTTCTGGTAAACTGAGAACAGCAGATGATCTCCCTGCCTTTTTACAAGCACATTGAGAAACAGTAAGGTGTTTTTTTTTTCCCACTCTACGGTGAATTGGATGTCAGGCTCAATGGAATTGAGGTGTGTCAAAAAATTATCCACCTGAGACTTCTTCATGATGCAGAAGCAGTTGTCCACATATCTCAGAAACACTTTGGGGCTTGCGGCAAAAGACTGTAGAGCCTTTTGCTCTATGGCTTCCATGCACAGGTTTGCCGTGGTGACAGATATGAAGGCCCCCATTGCGGTTCCACTGGACTGCTTAAAGTACTCCCCTTTAAAGCCAAAATAAGTGTTACTCCGGCAGAATTGGATGAGGTGCCAGAGTTCATCCAAGTTGAGCTCGGTCCTGTTGCTTAAATCACTGTCTTTTCTCCAGGGTGTTTCTGGCAGTCATGACTGCTAAGGAGACCGGAACGCTTGTGAACAGTCAAAAGATACCAGAATCTCTGTCAGCCTCGAAAAGAGGTTGGCGAAGTAAAACAGGACAACATACAGCATCGACTGGTTTGTCACAAACCTTTCTTCAAGACAACTTTCTCCTTGCGAGACTGCAATCATAGCAAAGGGTCGCGGTTTCAATATGACAAGAACGAAGCCACCTTTGCCAAAAATGGTTCATACACCGCATTGTCTGTCATCAGAACCAAAGTTGACAACACCGCCAGTCGCAGGTTGATACGCAACGCCGGCCAATCACACGCATCAGCATCCCCTACATCAAGGGAACAAGTGAAGCTCTGGCATGGGTGCAAGCAAAGGAGGGCATTCAGATGGCCCACAAGCCACTGAATGCCACTGACTAAACTGAATGCCCTCCTTCGCTATCGTGAAGGAGGGCATTCGGTTTAGTCAGTTTGAAAGCCTTCGCTTTCAAACCGACTACACTTCCTGACAATCCCAGATTTTTTTCCTCAAAGGCGCAGTCTCCTCCACCACGTCATAAAAGCAGTGGATGCCAGCTCACCTCCACTTCTACAGAGGCCTCCTGCTTCTTAAAAGCAAAGACAATGAGGTAGAAACTGGACCCAGCCACTGCGAGCAGACGGCTCTCAGCGCAGAAGGCAACCTTCTCCACGGCAAAGGGGTCGTCGTCCTGCACGCTCCTGTTCTTGGGTTTCTCAAACACCTTGGAGGTCTTCAGGCGGTACAGGACCTGCAGGGTCACTGCGGCACCAAAGGTCCACAAATTAAGACCTCCTCCACACACACACCCTGAAATAGCCTGTCTCTGCAACTCATGACTAAACCCCAATTTTTTTTTTTTTTTAGATATACCATTATAGTACCACTCATTATCATTTGAGACATGAATTCTACAGGATATCATGGTTAAGGACAACCTTTAGAAATCAAAAATGAGCATACTTAGTACCTCAATTTTTAAACAATCATCCAGATGTTATGGGAATAATACAAAATAGTGTTTCACATCACAGCTTAAAAAAAACAATGAAAAAAAAAAATAGCTCTCTTTATGTCCTACAGAATAAATTTAGTGGGCCAATTTCTTTCCATATTCATAGTGTATAGCACCGTCAATGGGTCTTCTTAATTAAAATTTCTTTGAGTGCTTTCGTTCAATGTAGCCAAAGTATGTATATAATGAGTACTTTTTTCTTATTGTGGATGTAGCAAGATTCATAATACTGTGCTCTTGTTTTCGACCAATGTTTTGTTTTTGCTCTTTAATAGTATACTAGGGTGACTGGGCCTCGTCAGGCAGTATCTGCCTTTTTCTTGTCTTGTGCGAATAGTGAATTTTGAGTTTGAAGTGAAGTCAAAGCGAATAATGATTTTGGTTGAATATCTTTTAATTGAATAGTTTCTTTAAGCCTTTTACTACAGTGCACTATGCCTAAACGAAAATTCAGCCATACTCAGAGTTGTTGCCAAATTTCCACTTGTCCACTTCTAAACATAGATTTTATATTTATGAACTCTGGCATGTGAATGACAAATTTGTCACATCTATCCTAATCAAGAGGATTTATAGATTTGATTTCTATATGCCAATATTATTCCTTAAATATAAAATTTTACAACGCAAAAAAACAAGCAAACATTATGAACTCCGGTTATCAAGACATTGCTCCCTACTCGACTGAGTTTGTTTTTTTATTTGGAAACACGGTCTTGGGATAAAGGGAGATAGGGTTGTGCGAATATTCTAGTTTTCGAATAGTAGTTTCGAATTCGATATTCACTTCACAAGGAACTGCAATATAGTTTTCCAAGTGTTGATTGTGGCGGGTTAGCCCCGTTAAGTGCTCTTCTCACCGAGCACCTGCGCACTGTGGGGAAGCAATACCTGCAATGCCCGCGAGCTCCGCGGGTATTACTTCCTCGCAGTGCGCAGGCGCTCAGTGAGAAGAGCACTCAACGGGGCTAGCCCGACGTGATGACCCTCTGAAAACTATATTGCAGTTCATCTTGAAGCAAAAATCGAATAGCATATTATTCAAAACTACTATTCGAAAACTCAAATATTCGCACAACCCATCTCCCTTTATCCTAAGACCTTGTGTCCAAACAAAAAACAAACAAACAAACAAAGTCGACGCCTTCCGCAAAACGCAAAGTTCAAGACTGGCTGAAATACGGGTTGTGCCCGTATTTCAGGAAAAAGCCCTAGCTGGTCATATATTGTATTAGAAAAACTACTAAGCTGACTTGCTCCTTACCTGAAGATGCATCCCAAACCTTCAAGGAGCCATCTGCATGCCTGCAAGGAAAGACAATGAGGAATTCATAGGGTGAACGATAGTGAGGTGCTAAAGAGGAATGTTTTGCAGGAATTAAGACTTGCCCGGTCACGATCACCTCGGGATAGCTTACTGTAGAGGTTCCCCATTCTCCACCACTGATTGGCCACTCCTGCCAATAAAACATCAATAAGTATCCTCATCACACATCATTTCCAACTGCACACTATGTTAACAAAGGTCATACCATGCAAAACATAAGATCTAACAAACTAGGCAATTTAAATTCATCATAACCAATTTTTTTTTTAGATATTAGTTTTATGGATAAACTCTACTTAGTGGCAGAACCCACCAATTCGTCCGTTTGGCAGAGCTAGTGTTTGACAACATTTGTTACAACGCGCATGCGAACTTGGCTCTCTTACGAGCCTCAGCTTCCTGGCTCCGTTAAAAGTGGCCGATGAGTGAGTCCCTGCTGACAGATCATGTCAGAGTTCCTTCAAGGTTGACTGGTTTACACTGATGCAACTTATGAACATTTAAAAGGGTACTTTTGAAATAACTACTAGAACTCTTACAAGTTGCGAGACTTGCGGTGTATATCAAAAGCTTTGGGCATAAAAAGAAGCATGTGTTTGAACAAGTTCCTATCCATCACACATGCAGGAGTGAAAAACAAAACAGCATCACCAAATGGTTTCATGGTTCCTTTACACAGAAAGATTTACCCAATTCACACTACCTTAGAGAGCGTAGCGACAATTTCAACCATCACAACTCTCTGTTAGTGTTGAAGGTGCAATGTTAACAGGTGTGTGCCATGCAGCACTCCTCAGACAGCTTAAAACAGCTTGGAGCCCTGGATGTTAGGGACATCCCAAGTCCGCACAGAACTCACCTTATCAGAAAATCCGCTCCGCTTGTTAGCTTTGCTCCCGACTGAGTAGAAGGCTGGTATCAAATCCGTCGGGCAGTCAGCCAGGTAGGTACAAAAAGTGACGGGAGATTCGTGCAGGTCCATTGAGTATGGATTCTGAAAGCATGGGTAGCTACGCACCCAAAGAAACAATGTCATCCGTGACAATGATGTTGACACAGCAAGGTAACCAAGCACAATGGTGGCATGGTAAATGTAAAGATAGGAAAGCAAAAATCTAGAGATACTTGACAGACTTCAACAGTTAGTTTGTGGTGACTGCAATGCACCTGAAGCACCAATCGTTGATCCTCTTTGATTATCTTAGCCGGTGAGGAGGGCGAGCAGTATCGCGCTCAATGGCAATGCAGCCTCTGTGGCAACAGCGGAAATTGTTTGCCACTATCATTGTGTGGCAATCTGTGCGTGACACCACTCGCACTCCTCACTGGCTCAGCTGATTAAAGGGAAATCAATGATTGGCACTTTAAGTGTTTTGTAGAGAACAGATATGCGTGCAAGCATTCTGTCCTTCCACGCCGGCATCCCACTTTAAGCTTCCAGAAACACGGTCAGGCGTTACCCACCCTTGGCTTGTTAGGTCAACCACCACTAGATCATTCTGTAGAAGAACAACAACAGCATAGGGTTCATGGAAGTCTGCAAGAAAGAAGAAAAGGAAAGAGGTTAGCGCAAACCTGGACGTAACAAAAAAGACCAAGTACTGCCATTAAAAAAAGAAACTAGTGCCAGCTCACCACTCTGGAATGGGGTTTCACAGAGGGTTACAAAGTCAACTATGTTGTGCTCCATTTCCAAAACTGTTGTGGTTTTTCCATGAATAACAGTCAAAGCAGGTGTCTGGCCACTCTTCTCGAAAGGAAGGCCCCCAGAGAAAATCACAAAGGAGTCTCTGCAACGACAGAAATAAGGAGAAAAAAAAAACGATCAGCGAGAAGTTGCAATGTTCTGCCGACGTGGAAAACCTGAAAATAATTTCTAGGCTCACCCTGCAAGGTTAGTACATCAGGATTTGTGGACTTGACTAGCATTAAACTATCAACAAATCCTGGATTGCCGGTATGCTGTTAACACCGGGATTGCCGACTAATGCGACAAACAAAATTTCTAGAAGAGACCCTTCAGTTTAAAGTGGTGCGCATAAACACCAGAGTAAAACTAAAACGATTTGGAGAAGCACAAAACTAACATGACAAAACCAAGCCAGGAACTGTATCAGGAGTTCTGTGCAGTGTTATGGGAAGCACGAGCACCACAGTCACTTACAGAGTGAGAAGGGCAGGGCGTGTCTTGCCTAGCCCCCGGCATGCACTCCACACCTTCCACCATGCTGCGGCTGTGCGTGCGTGCACGAGACGCCGAAGCGTTGTTGAAGGTAGGGAGCACGCGCTAGAGGCGGAACAACTGAAGCTCCTCCCCACTGTCCTCAGCTTGCCAGTGACTATGGCAATTTGTTTTATAAAATGATGTTTTCGCACAAGTGCACTTGCAGACAATGGTGTTTCAGAGTTACACCCGTGCCTTCGATAGCAAAGTTGTGAGATGGAGAATAATGGAGGACGAACACAAATGGTCGGAGCTCTGTACTTCATTCGAAGACATTAGCACATCTTCACCGGCTAGCCTGGGCACACATCACTACCTCAGTAGAAATTGAGAAAAATGAATGGGAATAATGCAAATGCTTACGAACAGAACCACCTGTATTACTAGAAAGAATCAAAAGGTATATAGAGCACAAACAAAAGTCCAAAACAGATATCTTGATTTCAACTATAGCTCTGACTAACAGAACAGTCCCAAAACAACCGAAAGCAAATCAAAGAATTTTCTTACCACCATCATCTTTTGCTTAGGATCATAATAACTTTTACCACTCTACTCATGTGAATAGTATCTGCACAAGTATTTCCTTGTAATGATAAGCTATGCTACAACTTCGATACAGATCTTGGCCTCTCCACACCCAGTAAATGGGCCAGCAGAAAGACAGTATGCAACTTTCAAATGAAACCTGCCCCTCTTGTTATTTTTTCATTAATTTGCTTCGTCGTGACGTAACACTGAACAATTCCTTGCCCATGAAGCAACCAATAGCTGAACGAAACTTTTTTTTTTTTAAGAAATCTACTTCTCTTCGCAAGTAAAAAAAAAGAATATTTGGGGAGCTTACTGTAAAGTTCCGAGCGAATGCCCACCCCGAGAGGTCGCCAATTCCGTTTGCAGTCGCTGACCGATTTTTTGGACGTCGATGTTTTGGAAACGTTTGATTATTTGCACATTTTCGCCGAACCTTCACTCACCCCATAGAGTTAATGTATAACATTGACCGAAATTTCGGATGCCATAAAGCTTACTGCTCGATATTTCTGACATAATTTGAGTGATTACCTCGGTTTACCGCCACAAAACAGCAACTGCGATAGCGCCGCAAGCTTAGTCGCCGCCCTTTTAGTTGTTTTGATTTTGCCCTGTAGCCTCAATACCACGTTGTATGCAATAAACAAGCTGGGTTGAGGCTGTAGTCAGGTTTTTCGGTTCCACTATAGCCAACATGGCAGCCAACTGCCCATTCTTATGGTTCTTCTAGTTCTTCTTGTGGTCCGTGTTTTTCGGGTGCGACCGCGAGAAGAGCAATTGTTTGCCGTTCTTGTGGTCTTCGAGCACAAAGATTTTTTGCCGATAGGCTTAGTATTGAAGCGAGCTAGGTGGACTAAACATTGTCTCCAAATAGTGCCAAATGGCGCCAACTTCAACTTTGCTGTTTGTGCCAACGAAGGTGCCAACAAAGCACAGTACCGTAGCCAAACAGATAAACACACAAGTGAAAAATGAACAATATAAAGCGGAAGTTGCACGAGAACTTAAACTTGACATCAAGCAAGTGGAAAGGGGACAATACGCAGCGGAATATGCGCGAAAATTTGATAATTTGGCTGAAATAAATTTTTCGGACTCCTTGATTATCTGGACAATTTCGGGGTCCCCTCAGAGTCCGAAAAATCGGTCGGCAACTGTATCCAGCTAAACATTCGTAGGGGACCGAAATTTCGCCCACACCAACAAATTCACGTGATGTCCAATGTGCTTCCCTCCCTGAAGCTGCTCTACTCCATTGTAAAAACATCAAACTCAACCCCCCCCTCCAAACTTTTTTTTTTTTCTTTTTTTTGTGCGTGGGAAGGACGTGTATGTTTTAAAATAAACTTTCTTAAGAAAAAATAAAATGCCACACAATATTTACACTGCGAGACTCATTTTGGGTTAGGGGCGATTGGAACTGGCAGCATTAAAATCCATAGGCCAACACTTTGCTCCAGAGCGACCGAGGTAGTTTCTCTCTCTCTCTCTCTCCGCAAATGAAACTCGTATCTGTAGAGCCTATAAAATCAAAACTTAACATGCTAGGTTGCATGTATACAAGGAGACCTTTAGCCTATGGTCCGAAAGATTTGAGAAGATCTGTACGTACGCTCCCCTCAAGGTCCTCCATTCTACCTTGTAGATGGGCTTGCAGGGATCAGGCTTGCCTTCCTTGGTGTTCCTCACTAGACAAAATAAATGAGAGAAGTTGGCAAAGCACAAGCACAAACATAGTGTAATATATGGATAGAAACATAACTAGTAATGATAAAGAAATGAGCAAGTTTAGTCACTTCGCTAAGCTGACTCATTCAAAGCCTTTCCCAATGAAGCATGCACTACATTTTGTAAAAAGTATGCAAAACAAACAATTTGTTGTTGTTTTTTCAGCAAGGTGGTGTTACAAGAGCCATTTGTAACCATGCATGCAAACCTTTTTCACAATTTTTCATACTGGTTTACGTGGAAATGGTTATTCGTTTTAGCGTTGCTAAAATGAATAAACACATGGACTCGGGTTTTAGCGTTGCTAAATCTCAAAAACATGGTGTGTGGCCAAAATTTTGGGATGCACAAACTCTTACCAGTTCTGCTTATTTCCCATCAAAGTCGACTCGGAATATCTGCTGGGACCAACTGGTCAGTAATGAGCCGACTACTCGAATACCACATAGGGGTAATGGCCGATATTTGTGAAAATTGAGACCAACCACAGAGGAGCTTGAGTGAATCGAAAAACACTGCCTCCACAGATAAAAAGGCATAGGCCAATAGTTCACCAATTTTAGTGAACCATTTCCCCTTACGTATCCTAGCTACGTAGTTTGTTTCAATTCAACACTTATTTGTGGGCCTTTTTATTTTTTCTGATCAAACATAATATCTAGGAGTATGTCTCTAAGACATTGTGGATTATAAAATAAACAAAGAACATGAAAAAGCCATCTTACCATGTGGAAAGATAATGGTCACAGGCTTGGCAGGCATGCGAATGTTCCATGTTGTTAGGCTACCATCGGCGTGGCTGCACATGAACTGCTTGCCCTCATGATGCCACGTGACAGAATGTAAAGCCTAGACAAAAACAACAAACAAAACAAAAACAAATTTACAGTTGTTTTACATTCAAGCTTATTAAAATTTGAACATACCTCCGTATGCTGAAACCTCACATCAGCAGCACGATTTCGTAGGTCCCAGAGAACAAGGGCTCCAGTCTCAAATCCAACCAGTAGCTAGAAACAAAGACATTATTTAGATACATATAGTATACATACTCTAGAGTTATTTCCAACTGCAATGTATTTAAGGTGACCAACAAAATGGCCCATGTAAGCTTCTAGAATTATGGAAAGAACAAACAACTCCAAAATATGCATATCATCATATCACAGAACAGCGGACTAAAAGGAAAAGTAGTGTAGCTTCGTGAAGACGTTTGTTAAAAGCTTGGGATCCAAAAATCAATGTAGTAGCTGTTAAGCCATGGTTTCCTGCTATGGTGACACAGTGCAGAGAAGCATAGTATGGGAGATATGTAGGGAATGCAAAACTACATGAAAGTGCTGCCCATTTCTCAAACATCAAACAATATTTTAAGCCACAATTCAAGATAGGGGTTGCATATGTTTCATTTTTTGCCCTCCTATTTTTTGAAAGTACAGGTGTAATCATCCAGTAGTATTTTCACATTTGTGCTTGTGTTCTTGTTTGGATAACGATACCTGTTACACCAGCTTTGCGCCTTTGTTTATTGCTGACTTAATCTGAGCACCAACCACCCCTACAACTGCTCTGAAGAAAGCCAATATTGTCCCAAAATAAAAACAAATTACAAAATTGTGCATGATCCCCCACACTGCACCTTGCTGTTTTCCTGCAGCACATTAGTGCACTTTCAAGAACCACTATGTCCAACAGAACAAACAGGTGCCCTTGCATATGTTAGGTTTAAAATCGGAGAGAAATTAATCTTTCCTTCCAAAGAACACACATACATTTTAGAGTGCAGTTATTGCATAAGCACACACGAGAAAATAAAGGCATCCCAGTTGAAAATTCCCATTAAGTTCCAATTGGAATTTTCTTATTGGTACCAATTGGTCACTGCCAATGGGAACCAATGCCAACCAATGGGAACCATTTGGAACCCATTCAGGTTCCAACTGAAAAAATAATTCCAATTGGTGAGACCCACTGGCCAGTGTGCTTCCAGTTGGAACCCACTAAAATTAATTGGTTCCAGTTAAAACCAGTTGGAATTCTTATTGGATTTAATAGAAATTTTTAGCTGGGATGGCCTTTTATTTTTTGGTTTTAAAGTACCCATTTTTCTTCGTTTTCAATGAACTTGCATTTTCGACAGAACGACACAATATTTGCTTTAAAGATTTGGAAATGATTTTATGTAAGAGAGGTTTATCGGCTTAAACAAAACTAATAGAAGCTGTTCGAAATAAAAGGTTAGCATCCCTCCAAGCTGAAATCACGAGTTTTCAAAGCAGTAACACTGATATTTGCAGGAGTATACAGCAATGAAAGTGAGGTAAGTACCATAGAATACCGTGCATCCGCCCATGCCACATTAAGCGCCCATAACCAAATTCGTAAGATCTGAGAAAATATGCACAGTACATTTATATGTAGAATTGATGACAGGACAAGCACCATTCTCCCATTTTTTCATGATTATCTCAAAATTTTGAATGGGCGCTTGCCCGGTATTTTACGGTATGAGTTTTGAGTTTCACGGAACAGCATTAGTGGTCTGCGTCTCGCACGGTAACCTTACAAAAGATGTCAAGACAAGTCGTCATAAATTCCGAGTGTAGCATGTATGTACACCTAAAAAACGTGGCCATAGTATTCCCGGACTACTGTACTTAGTATGGCAAAATATGCAACTAGAACATTTTTATGGCTGCTCCAGTAGTTAGTTACCTCCTATACTCTGGTTCATCTTAAAGGGGAGGTGCAACAATTTTTGTACTTCGCATAAATACCGCTTAGAATGAATCCCTGATGTTCATAGCTTATGAAACACGCATTAGATACTTTCCTTGTGCAAAAGCGGTCTAAAAAAAAATTGAAGAAAGACGAAAAGAGTTCTCCCCCTCAATTCACAACCATAACAAGCGGCCACATGATCTGGAGCCGATTATATGTCACCAATGTTTATCATAGCCATGCGCCGGGGTCGCCAAAGCACAGGACACACGCCCAGTTCCAGACATCGTTATGGTTCGGCTATTGTCGTCATTGCAGCGGTTGGACACGGGCCACTACCCGAATGCTTGTCGAGCTATTGATTATCCCATACCCAAATCGAGTGCTCACGCAATGCTCAAGCCCAATCTATGAGCTGCATTCAAATATTGTCACTGCGGAACACTACAACCTCCAAACTATGTCGTCAAGTTTTGCAAAAAGTTTGGAAGAAAACGCTCGCTTTTATTCTTGAAATTGCACAGCAACAAAGGGGCTTTCGGTCGGTGGCATTGCGTGCGAATACGCTTCGGTCCCACAAGTGCCAGTAAGCTCATGTAAAGTGAAAAACATTCCAAGTGAATATCGTTGCACTGCCCTTTGAGTTTGACTGCAGCAGACGCTACAGACCAACCAGAGTCAGTCAAACAGCGCCAAAAGTGCATCGTCACAGTGCTTGTCACCTTCGTGAGTTCGCACACTGAACCAATTGTGTGCAGTAAGCGTGCCGCGACCCTGCACTTTTCTCTGCGCGTGATTGGTTTAGAAAGTAATTAGAAGCCCCCAAAGACAATGAGTGCCTTGACGATGCAATTTTGGCGCTGCTCGATTGGCTCTATCAAATCGTAGTTGCGGAGGTGGTCGGACTTCGAGCGAAATGAAGTATAGACAAATAAAAAGTTCCTATACTCGGTACAAAGTGCTTTACTCGGTACACATGCTATCTAACAAAAATGGTTGGTTGTTTTAGGTTTTTGTGGTGTAAAAGTGACTAAGGCTATAGAGTGCCAAGAACTAGTCTATTTATTACTTAGGATTAGATAAAAAAAGGGGGCTTTAGCAGCCAATGATTGAATAAAACATGTGAATGAAATACAAAACGTCGAACGATGGCCATGAGATGCTGATTAAAACAGATATAGTCGGCGTAAAATGCCGATGGAGTCCAAAAATTTAAAAACACTTTTATATGTCACAAAGGGCTCATCCCTTAAAATCAGTGCTGGGTCAAGTGGCACGTGTTCTTTATAAAGTGGAGAAAAATCAATCAGACACTCTCTGTCATACGCGAGACACTCAATGAGAACATGTAAAATGTTTATAACTTTGTCACAATGTTCACACAAGGGGGCTTCATCCCCGCGCAGGAGGTAGCCATGGGTCAGGTGCGTGTGACCGTTTCGCAGTCAACACAGGACAACCTCGAAGAAACGTTCTCTGTGTCGTGCGCTCTTCCATTCACCTAGTAGTAGTTTTGCACCATGTAGCTTGTTATAAATAGCTGCATTCCATCCATCTTGCCAGCATCGTCTCATGAATTTCTTTACCGATGAGCAACAGTCTGTATGAGGAATACTTGAGAAATCAATTCATCTCTGAACGCAGGTGTGCGCCAAATGGTCAGCTTCTTCGTTTCCTCGGATGCCAATGTGACTAGGAATCCAACAAAAAACTATCCTCAATTAATTTTTTTAATGCAAGAATTATTTTAGTTCTGAAGTGCTATAATAAGGTTGTTTTTTTTAGACTTTTGAGGAGATGAGTGATCTTAATGCACTGAGAGAGTCGCAGCAGACTACACCGAAGGACACCCTATTTTCAATAATGTTCTGGTGCAAGAAGCAGAGCATACAGTTCGGCAGTCAGAATTGTTGCCGAGTTATTTATCCTTCTAAACTTGTCAAAAGAGAGTCCCACCAGTGAACAGCCGACATGCAAGTCTGTTTTTGTGTCATCAGTGTAGAAGCTGTTGAAGCAACAGTATTTGGTTTGCAGTTCAGAAAATTCTAGCTTGAGCACCTCACATGGTGTTTCCTTTTCATTAAGTTTTGCCAGTGAGAGGTCACAGTCAATGGGGACATGTTCCCAGGGGGCAATCTTGTTGAGATATGAGGGGGGCGTTCATCAAGTAAGGCCTAAAAGTTCATCAAACATAAGGCCTAAAAACTTATGAGTCGTTTTGTTCTGGACTTGTTGGCCATAAATGGTCAGAGATGGTCAACAATGGTTCCGATACCTTGTCATCACCTAGCTGCATGCCAATGCTGACACCCATAGCATTGTCTCTTGCAGCCTTGAATGTCATTCAGCTAGTCAGAAATTATAGAAGCAGACATCAAAACAAACTTGGAGCTAATCTTAGAGTAAAGTAAAATTCCTTGAAGTAACAAAAATGCTACAGGCAAGTTGAAACACACTTGCTGTAGTCACCATAAGCTAAGACCCAAGATTCTTGTACAACCTGACTCATGGTCTTGGATTATAGTACTCATGCCTCCTACACTTTAATCTGCCAATTATAAGGTCAGTTATTTACGCATTTTGAGAGCCAAAGTTCAACGACATTATGAATCACTTCGAAAAAACGAAAAGGATGTGAGCTACGGTTTTGTGTACGTTATAAATAAAGTTACGAAAGAATATTTTCTTGAACAGGTTCCACAAGCTTACCTTGTTGGCATCCACGGGGTTGTCGCTAATATGGACCACCGCACCAGGATGAGTTTTGCGAGAACTAGAGAAAAAAAAAGAAGTGGATTTCAGAAGCGAAAGGATGTCAAGTCTTGCGTGATTAACTTGGTTCAGGTGTGCGAAAAATGTTCAGGCAAGTAAATTAATGTCCACCTAAAGTAGGTCCGGGTACTTTCAGTGGTCTAATTCAAAACAGGCCCCAAGAAAACTTTGCAAAATATATCTATCAAAGCTAAACTGGAAGAGGCCAAAACCCTAAGGATTGTTTTGCAATCACTAGTCTCATACATGTAAAGCACGCTGTTAAAATTGTTGCCAACCATGAAACATATCGAGGAAAACAATACCAGTCCAATCTGGAAAGTCCTACTTCTTCCCATTTGTGTGTTATTTTTAGCATACACCCAAAAGCCAGATGTAAAATTGCAATTTTTTCTTTCTTCTATTGGTATTTCATCAATTTCTGAAAACGCAGTCTCGAAACACCTATTCAGAACTTGTCTGTCAAACAGGTGACAAAGAGGGCTGCATGCAGCCAATAAGAAACAGGCCCTTATGACGCAAACAATGTTTGTGCTCACAGTTCGATAGCCTTGTTCCAGTTGATAACATAGCCAGAAAGGGTAAATGATTCTATGTTCACTACATGCAAATTCCCACGCTCTGTACCAATGTACAACCATTTGCTCTGGAATGGCAAGTGACAGTGGGTGATCCTGAAACGGAACGAAGAAGACTGTTAAAGGCCCACTTCCTCTCTACTGCATCTGTTTGAAAGGCACATGCACACAACTACTACCAAGAGGCGGGACAAGAACGGCAGATAGGCCTTTCAGTAGTCCCTTCTCCAGCACAAGCTTGTTAGCTTCGACAACACTTCAACATATCATGAGCTTCCAGCATGCCGGTGAAACTACAGCATGAATGAAAGCAATCAGTGCATGCTGGAAGCTGAGCACTAGAAAGAGATGCCCCATGCTTGTCCTGTCACAAACTATAGTTACTTCCAGATTTACAGCAGCATAGCATGTTATGTAAGAAACCATAAAACATAGGCACCACCTCAAACGTGTTAGTACATTTTGGACACTACAGTCTTAAAAGCGAGCACCTGCGAAATTATGAAGCACTACCAGCTTCAAAGAAAACACACAATAAGCTGTAGATTGTATGTAGCAACTTAACAGCACTTCTGGGTGTCAGTACATAAACAAATATGCACAAAGACGGCATGTAAACGGGTGCCGGACAGTTCATTGAACACCACCTCATTGAACGCCGTTTCATAGAACGCCGACTCATCGAACGCCGTTTCATAGAATCACTTGATGCCGTTTCACCAAATTTCCCTTTACTGAATTTTGGAGTAATATAATGCTTTTTACATAATTTTTATCACTTCTGAAATAGTTTTGACGCCGCTCTAAATTCACCAGAGATGGAATTACCAACCCGCCAATTTTTTGTCCACCTAAACGTTGGCTGCTGAATCATAGAAGGCAGCTATCATATCAAAACTTGAAAGGATACGCGACTTATTCATTTCTGGCAAGATAGGCGGCTGCTCTCGGCCACACAGTTTTTCCCACTTCATCCGTCTATTTATTCACGCGTGAAAGGCACTATTTTAAAAGGGAAACGACTATTCTCCGCAGTGCCTTTTTTATTTTGTATTTGTTGATTTAGCTGTGTTTTCATTTTACTCTAGGAGAATAGCTTTCTTTTTAAAGGGAAACTGAAGCGGTTCTGTAATTGAGAAAAAACACTTCAATGGCCTTCATTCTACCTCCAGGATCAGGAATATCGAGGTTATTTTTCAATTTGGTGCACGGAGGCTTCAGAAATTATTTTTTATAGTACCGCGGAAGCCCCTCCTTCCCGGGGCGTGAAGTCACACTAGGAGTTTTTGGAATCTCGGCTCTCGTGCATCTTCAGCGCCTGTCAAAGCTATGAGCACAGACTTCTGCTATTTTCAAAAAGGTCAGAAAGAGACATCACGACTGCCGTCATTGCGGAAAAATATACCTGACAAGCTTGCCATTGCACGCACTGCCCACACGAGCGACACGCGCTTGGTGGCCCAAAGATCCTAGTATGACGTCACGACTGGTCGGACGTTTTTCGCGTTTTCTCGCTTTTAGTTGCGTTTTCAGGGAAAACGAATGTGATATTCAGATTCACGGGATAAAAATACGCCAGAATTCACCTCTAACTCGTTTTTTTCAAGAAGTGCTTCAGCTTCCCTTTAAGAACATATATGTTCTTAAAAGAGATGTGTCTCCCCTCTTCGTTAATTTATTGTAACCGACAGAACCGTGGACCTGTTGGACCTTCGACGTGCAGTATATATACTGTATGTCGAATATCCGGCAGGTCCATGGTTCTGCCAATTACAATAATTTAACAAAGAGTGGAAACACATCTGTATTTCTTCCCGTATCATGGGACACTGAGACAGATCAATGCTTCAAAAATGGCTTAGTCTTAAAGCAGAATAGGTCTCTTCAAGGACGAAGATATATACGGCCTTGAACGGACGTGCGTTCATCACTGCACCTGATGATCACAGCTTTAAAAAGTGTCGTCAGTGTTCCCGTTTCTTATTGGCTATCCTCCCGGCGCTAAAAAGAAAAATATTTCCTAGATGTAGAATTCCTACTGCTCAAGTAGGCGGCGTTCAATGAAACGGCTTCGATGAAATGTCCGGACCCACATGCTTGTTTCAAGGAAAAAGACCCAGAGAACTTAGTGGCCCGTATCAAAACTTTTACTGACCACAGAAGGCTACCCACAACATGACTTAGAGAATATGCTGAAGTAATTCTCTTGCTCTACTGAACAAGTGGTTATCTCCCATCCTAGCTTTACCCATTACATACCACCCAGCCCAGGGGAAAATCAGACCACTTGCAGATGGATTATGGAACTTATCCCAGCTGGATCCAACTCAGCTGGATTGTCTCATTTCCAGTTGGATCCAACTCAGATAAGTTCCATAATCCATCTGCAAGTGGACTGATTTTCTCCTGGGCAGTTACGTAAAAAAAATAATGAAGTCTCAGCAAAGCCTACTCACCTCTCTTTCTGAAACTTAAGTGTGTGCACTATTTCAGGTTTTTTCTGTCTCAGGTTCCAGAGATGAAGAGTATCATCAGCACACACGCTAATCAAAGCACCCTATAAAAGTGTGGAAACGAGATTAATGCTAATGTTACAGTACCATTCTGGCAGGCATAATGAAATAAAAAGAAATAGGAATGCTCACCTCATTCACCAAAAATAAGATCTGTATCACAGCATACTCCAGCACATGCTGAATTGTGCAATCCACACCAGGTCTGCCAAACCTTTTGGGATTATTCACAGTTAAGGTGATTGCTTCAAGCTTTGAAGGGTGTTTGAACACTAGACTACCCAATAGAAGACATGTTTATCATTTCTGGAGGCTACAGACCTGTGTGGAGATCCATTTCATTCTCCAGCTTGAGAATTCTCAAAAGCTTCGTGCTAATGAGCTTCATCTCCAACTCTTGCTCACTTTTTGTTGCTACCAGATTGCCAAAAAGGAGCTAATTGTGTTGTGTATATGTTGCCTGATCAATAAAGCATTTTTATAGTTTTCGCTGCCACCGACAAGTAAATTTTTAACATATAAACTCTACGCTCCCCCAACTTAAGAGAAGACAGGGAGTTAACATCTCAGTTATTGAATAATATAAAAATTCAAGCAGCGGATAATATTCAAGCTTTAAGAAGCCAAGGTTTTTTTAGATAAAACAGCACATCCAAGCAACAGGTTGAGAATGTCCTCGCTCCGAAAAGTGAGATGGAATTAAGGATTTCTTCTGCACACTTATCACCTTGATAATCGGTACTTGTTCTACATCATAATTGTTTGAACCAAAAATCAAAATTAGAAAGGATTCAGAGAACTAAGATGAGGCAGAAGTGAAAGCATGAGAAGACGTCCGTAATTAACATAACAATATAAAAGAATTGTCTTCAGGGGCTCTACTGTGCTCAGATCGCTGTTTGGTCTCATCAATGCTAGAAATGATGTGCCAGCAACATGCCACACACAAACAGGACCACCAAGAAAACAAGTAGATGAACCAGGGTCTTCAAAAAGATGCTATGGTTTCAATAGGTGTGACAGGCACACATACACAAAGAGAAGTGCACGACTCCCATAAAATAGCTCTAAGGAACAGTTTTTTTTATAACTAGTATATTTTGCAAACCAGGCTAAAATCAACTTACTTATTTTGCAGATACAAAATGTTGAAATGAAAAACAGTAAACTGTGTGCACAAATGTACTAAACCTGACCTCGAGGTTGATTAAGGTACACCAATACTGATGAACTCTGCACTAGTAATACAATCTTGTCTAGACGCATCAAAAAGTTCTGATTAGTGTTCAGCAGGCTTGCAAAGACGACTTTGCTGCATTTTTACCTCTAGAAAAGTGAACCATTTTGCTATAGATTTAATTGAGGCTAATAAATGCTATTACTTGTGATGAAACACTTGCATATCTGCAAGAGTATTTATTTCAGCTTAAACCAACCACAAGGTGTCAGATTAAGTGTTTGAAAGTAGAGTCCACAAAACTGAAGCTTATTCCAAACCAATTCTCAATACCCAAAATTCATTGATATTTCACAAAACTTGCAAGTTGCTGATATTATGCGAGGTGTGATCAAAGAGTTTCGAAGCTGATTTTGTAGTGTAAAACGAGAGCAGCACAGTGATGTGCGCACATCAGTCAAAGGAAGGGACCTTTGTGTCTTTATAGTAAAGGACGTCCGCTCTGTGAACATTTAAAGTTGCACTACACGAGTTTTTGTGACCACGTGCATGGGCACAATGGCGATTTCACCACAGACTGCAAACAGGAGCGAGAGCAAAGATCTCGTCAAACTCAGCAAATATAAAACAGAGACTTTTGAAATGATTCAGCAGGTTTGTGTCAAAAAGCAGCGAATTTTGCAAAGTGTTTTAAGTGGCACTTGCTCTTCAGGAACGGCAGAACATGCTGGAAGATGAAGAGCGGTAGGGTGACCTTATCCGACCTCTCCTTGACTTCAGTAACGTTCTGCCGTTCTTGAGGCGCCAGTGCCACTTAAAACACCTCGCACACCTCACTGCTTTTTGACTTAAGCCTTCTAAATCATTTCAGAGGTCTCCGTTTCTGATTTGCAGAGTTTGGCGTCAAATTTATGTTCGCTCTCGCTTTGGTTTGCAGTCTATGGAGAGATCACCATTATGCTCGCCCATGTGGTCAAACTTGTGTAGCCCAGTTCCAAATGTTCACAGAGCGACGCCCTTTGGCATAAGGACGCAGGAAGGTCCCTGCCTTCAACTCCTGTGCGTGCATCACCGAGCTGCTCTCTCCTTTTACGCTACAAAATCGGTCTCGGAACTTTTTGATCACACCTCGTATGGCAATGCAAGTAGTGCATGCAAGAAGCTAAGAAAGGTCAGTCTTTGAAGGTACGATGAAAATGGTTAAACAGAAACAAGTTCAAAGCATTTATTTTGCCCACACAAACAAAAACAAAAAGCAGTGAATGTGCTATAAAACAAAGAACAAACCGCAGACAGGAAGACAAGATACATGCAATGCAAAACCAATGATGTCACGAAGTCCAACAAAACTCAAGAACAACGGCACAATCAGTGTAAGCTATGCAGTCTAACCCTTCAATATATGAAGCATCTACAAGAACTAAACCAGACTGCAAACAAAGAATACAAACATATGAAAGGAAGAGCAAATTTGACTCTCTCCGAAGAGATTCTTTTTAATGATAAAGAACTCTCAACTAAAATGTGTCTGTCAACTTTCTTTTAAATGCACATACTTTCTTCATATAAGTTGGAGTGCACATCCTTCGATATGTTTGCCAATTCATGCAAGGAAAGATAAAGACTACATTAATGGTTTTTATCTCTCTCAATCCCACATCGTCCCTAAACCACCCCAAAGTCTGCTGGAATAGAGCACACGACAGCCAGATAATAAAAATATGCAAGCTCCTTGCCAAAAAAAGATTGCTAAAGAAAGAAATCTTTGCATTCTCAGCACAACACCAAAGGTAGAAGCGGTATGTAGCTATATTGGCGACTCCAGCGACCTAAAGAGGGTAAACTGGTTAGGAAACTTGGTGGACAAAAGGTGGTCAGTTCTAACAAACAGAACGGAAAACACCTTAGATTTCACGCATAGCAGCATAGAATCAGTGTTCGATTCGAAAGCAGAGTGCGTTTTGAGCAGTGGGAACCGTCTGGCCAGTGCATAAGAGTGACAAGGTCGCAGCACAAAAATAATTACTGTGAACAACGGTTTTTCTTTCGCTATCTCGATTACGGCATTTGGCATAAGCTTTACCTTTTGTTTATTTTGAAGGTACTAAATTTCACGAGGTGGAAGATATGGAAAATCCCCAGGCACCCTCATAGGGTAGGAAAGTTATTGTAAAAACAACTAAGTACCATTCTCTAGAAGGACATGAAAGCATGAATAAGTGACTGTATTGGCTTTGTTTGATGCACTTTGAATGTAGTCCTTGGTTTTATATTTGAAGAAAACAATGAATGGCCTCAGTAGGTCGGTAAACTTTTTTTGAACAAAGCACAAGTCGCTTTAGGGTGCAAACTAAACGTGACTACCGTCCAAAGCCCAAAAAAAAAAGAAAAAAAAAAGTGAAGAAGCTTTATGCCAACACTTCCACTGAGAAAGAAGATTGAGGCACTGCGGCCGGTTGCGATCAGATTGCCGTGCTCCGGTTGCACCAGATCTAAAGGATTCAGTCTACAGGAAGCACCCTTTTGTATTAGTAAGTGAAAGCGTGATTGTAGTAGTTACGTCAAGAAGTCTTAAGGAAGTGAAGGTGAAATACAACTCGACTATGCTTCAACAAGAAATGTCGGCGAAGGGGGAGAATAGCGATGCTCAAGTAGGCGTGCATTCCAACTTGTGGCTCCTGCACACAATCATGTGTGACATTACAAATAGGCGTTCGTGTGAATTTCAACTGATGCTGAACAAAGCAGAGTTTGAATATTTTTTGCACAAGATTAATACTTTGACCTGTTAGCACGACTCATTTATTGCGAGTGGTAAGTGATCCACAAAAAATTAGCCTTTGGCAGGTGGGAGAATGGGGTTTCACGTCCATCAACAAGTTACAATAACCACATTTATGATAGCAACGTGTGAGGACATGCGTGATAACATCCAATTTACACAATGTTTTAAATGTATGGGGTTCCAATCTTTTCTTATTAAAAATTAAAAACAAACAGTTTCTGAGCAACATTTCTCCTTTGCTAAGGAGACGTCTGTGACAATCTTTATTTTATAGCTCTACTCCTGTGAAAGAGACTTGCTGCAAGTTTCGCATAGGAATATGTTTTGTGATATACCATAGTTTTTCATCTTGTGGATGAAGGGAATTACACAACATTAAGATGTTTTCCCCTCCCTGTTTGCCCTTTATGTTGTTGCAGCACCACTGAACCACAGTTATTTAATTGAACTCAGTAAATAAGCACATAAATTTCTGCTGCCTATAAGAACCAAGCAGCGAAAGCATACGACAGTGACAAAAGGGTCTCCTTTCCAAGTTTCTCTGTATTGCTGCAGTTTCGTTCGAGTATGCAGAAGCACAGTAATAAAATGCGACGATGAAAGAAGAAAATTACGACAAAATGTGAAATCCACAGGTCACATGGTGAGCAAGACCAAAAGGAAGCACTTCTTATAGCATTACACTCACCACTAAATGCAAGCAAGAATAAAGCAAAAACCTAAGCCATGTTCCACTGCAACTTTTGTAGACAACCAATAACTGCTATAAAAACATAAAGGCCACAAATCATAAATACAGTTTGCCTGGGAACAGTGTACATTTGAATGCTGTTTAATTTGATAAGAAACTACAGTCGTTTCAACGTCGATGCCTTAAAAAGGATACAACCGCAGCGAACCATTTTTTGTTCCAATGGCTAGTATCCGCTGCACCGGATCGAATGCCAACGCAGTGGGTTGGTAAGGGAATCCATGTCGTACGGTCTGCAAGGCACAAGAGAAACCTCCGCTTAGGTGCAAAGTTATTTAGCGGGTCCCAAAAGAAACAACAAATCGCTTTGAAACACACACCAGTTAATAGGCCCTTTAAAAAAAAAAAAAAGCAACATTGGCAATTGCCATTTTTTGGGCACGAACCGTGCGATTGGAGCCGAATCCTTGCCGAACTCCGACACGGTACTTGTCTTTTGTACGAGCCCAGCCAAGCTCACGCCGAAGGCTGATGCAGCCCTTGTGTCCAATATATGCTCAGTGTATGTGCCCAAACTAGGGTGGGCTTAGATAATTGACGGAGCAGCTGCTAGATGGCATGCAGTTTTGAAAAGGATCTATTCCTCCAAGCCAGCAAACTTCAGGTGCGCAGGCAGCTCATCACACAAGGCACGCTGCAACGCTTCCCCTTCTGAACTAAAAAAACGTGTGCCCATTTGAACTGCTGCTTTGTATTCTCTCCGCCACTTCAGATTCCTCCATTGTCCCGAGTGCTTTGGCGCAAGCACGAAAGCAAAGACTGCGCAAAGTTGAGTGGGCAGACAAAGCCCATTCGACAAACAAAAGCCAGTTTCAAATTACCAATTAGAACGATCGCTCGCTACTCACTGCTTTCAAATATTTACAAGAGCCAAAACCCACACCACTCAGAAAAGGTCTTATGTGTAGCCCTATACAAAAGTTCACGAGCACAATCATTGAATGCTGCTCTTTCCTAGCATTCTGGTGCCACCTTTGAATCTGCCAGAGTGGAGGAGGTTGCCCCAATGAGCAAAACAAGAGTGGCAAACAGAACATTTGTGGCAAAGGCAACTCCAGGATTACAATTCGCGCGACGATTATGTAGTACACGCTCAAGAGAGATTACAGGGGTCAACCATGTCAACTGGTTACTCAATATGTTTGTTGTATGCCCACGATCCAATCCACAGACCTGTAGCATAGGGAGCTGGCTGGACAGTTCTGTAGCTACTGGCAAACATCTCACACGAAGAGAAGGGTAGCGCGCGTGATTCTTCTGGATATGCGCGCAAGTTCCTCCTCGAATACCAACAGTCGCAGACCGGCCAGTGGAGCTCAGCGTGACGCGGACTGATGCAAGCAGGGCGCTACATCGCTACTCGCAGACCGTGGCAAGCCTCGGACAACGATTACTAGTCCAGCCAGCAAAAAGGCTGGGTTCTTTGAACGCGCCCCTTTCTACGTAAACAGCGGAATGTGCTTTCTCTGCAAGGCACCATGTTTCCCCGCAACACCTCCAAGACTCGAGATAAGTTGCCATTCAGGGCCACCTACAGCTACGTTAGCGTAGGACGTTGCACATTGCGCGCAGCAGCAGCAGCCCTCGGGCTCCAAACGTTATTGCAACCCCAGAAATGAAGCAGAAACACACCCATCGACGCAATAATCTGACATAAATATTAAACTAAAATCGGAAAAAAAAAAAAGGTTCAAAATGAAATGGCGACTCCCGTCATAACACGAATCACACCCCCCGACTACTGTTTTGCTTTGTTGCTTTTTTTTTTTTCCTTCTCGTATCGGTTTTCACTTTGAGGTGGATTATCCGCGCGCACTCGTAGCTTATCCAGAAGCGTCGTCGTCAAAAGGGTGCTTTTCGCTTACTCTGGACACCTGAAAATGTTCCGGCCGCAAGGTTTCTTCGACATCTGCTTCGGGCTTCACTGGTTGGGTCACCGAGGACCGTAGTCCGTCCAGAACCCCCTTGAAAAATCCAGACTTCTTCGTATCTGATCTAGGCATCCCCGATGCAGACGCAGCCTCGTTATCCTACCGGGAACATGGGCACGCTGCACTCAGTGCATCCGTAGAGTGATGTCGGAAGAAAGAAAAAAAAACTACGTGGACACCAGCCCAACTCCCCAAATGTGAACTGTTACCGAAAATTCTTTTTTTCAGTCCCTGGCAGGGGGAGCCGGGGAGCTCGCTCTCCGACGACCAATGAGCGGAGCGCTCCGGCTGCCCGGATGTTGGTCACGTGGCCGCGAAGATAGTTTTGGTATGCGGTCAGGATCGAAAATAGCTGCCAAGTTTTTTCGCTCGTAGCGTCTGTGATGCGTGGGTTTCACGTGTTTGGGTGGCAGTTGGCAATGTTAACATTCGTTTCGGGAAAAGATCGGCGTTTTGTAAGCGTCTTTCGAAAGCTAGCAGGAAATTTGAGCGAAATACAAAACCACACCAACGCCACGCGTGTCTGTGTTGCGCGTTCCCCACGCGCGTTTTTGGCAACATCTAACACGATACCGCGGATGCGTATTAGTACGTGCCCGTGTTTATTTGAGTTAGGAAGGCGTAAAGTATTGTTATTTAGATTATTCTATCATTTCGGCGCTGGTGACACCGCGGAGAAGAACTCGAGTGCTGGGAACTTCGCGGAATCGCGCGATATATCGTGTGTTCCATTTTAATTCGAACAGATTTGTTACAAAAAATCCGTAAAAGGTGCACTAATACAGTTTGGGTAGGTGAGTTATACGGCCAGGGGAACATCATATAGGTGTATATTATTTGCGATAAGTCGGATAATTAACTAAACTTCCTTCAATCACTTTTTACTTAGTAAAAATATTCATATGGTGTCAATATTAGAAACTTGTTCAGCGTCATCGAACGACTTGAATCTGTTCGAATTAAAATGGAACACCTGTTCAAAGGTCTTATAGCTACTCTTAACCTTTCAAAACGTAGAATTCATGGGAAAAAAATAAACAAATTAAACACACAGAAAAAAAAAAGTTTGCGAAAGATATGGCGGGTTAACTTACCCCAATGCTCCTCTCCGTTATCACGATTCCGCTTCATATGCGCGGGAAACATTAAACCGGTGTTGAACACATTCCTCTTACTTCCTTGTACTTCATATTTATTTTTTTTTTTTTTAATTTTATTTGAATGGTTCTTAAGCTGAGGTAGTTGAGTACAGAGCCAGAGCCCAAACGCAAAATTGCCAACTCTTTTTACGCGTTTCTTTTTTTTTTTTGTCACAATTTGTGCAATAAAGTATGTCGACACGAAGCTCTCTGCCCAATCGCCGATGTGTTCTGACTGCGCAGTGTACTCAAACAAATTATATAAACTTAAAAAATAAATGACTAAATAAATATATCTAGTCAAATCAATATATAAAAAGCGGGGGGGGGGGGGGGGGGAAGAAGTATATCACGTGGGGAACACAGCTTGAACAACTCACATGTGGAGAAGAGTTAGCCGACCTTAAACTTTTTAATCCTAAGAATATTATACTTTCGCGCGATATCAAGACAAATTGCGTTAAACAAAAACTACTCAGACACGCACAAAAATCACATTCCACGGATGGGGAAATATTATGTTCCTGAACTTCCAGGAAATCTAATAAATCTCCATCCCTTGAAATCTGCAAAAAGAGAAATAAGGAAATGCCTGCAGAATGGTGAATGAGTATTAGATTACAGTAAATCCGGATATGACCAACTCTCACTCTTCATATATTCGGTTCGTAAATTCATATAATGGATTCCAACTTCTCGTTACGAAAGTGTTTGATCATTCTTGCCGCTTTTGCTATAGTTTCGTGAGATTTATATAAAAATGATAACGCCTTAAAAAATTACGTAACCAAGATCGCACCCAGCTGTACAAATAATCTAATGTTGATAGTTTAACAGACTTCGATAGCAACATTGCTGAGTCTGTTTTTTTTTTTTTTTTTTGTTTTTTTTTTTCGCGAGGAAATTTTTAAAACGATACAGAGCTTGCTCAGCGGCATAAACCGTTTAGGATTGTATAATACGGTGGAAGTTTAGGATGTTTGTTGGGTGGCCGCAGGGAACTTGGTAATGGCCCATGTATCTCCAACATTCTGGAATATTTGCACCGTTTTGCGCCGTTTAGCGTACTCTCTCTCTGAAGTTCTCCACAAAACTTTCTAGAAGCTTTATTCCAGCCGAGCAATCGCAACAATTGTAATATTCCCCGGAAGAATTATACACAGCGATAATACAATAGCAATTAATACTAATCAGGAACTCTAGAAAGTATACTGTTCATTCCTATACTTGGGGAACACTTTTTTTTGGCAATAAATCTACAGTTATGGGTACCCGTGTGCTTGCGCCCATTGAGTGTCGATCACAGCTCTGCTCGCACTGTCTTCACTTCTTCGGAAATGCCAGAAAAAAGTTTTCGTCGACTGGTCCGCCATACTCGTTTGCACTGGGTCGTATTATAGAGCACTTTTGAGAAATTGTAGATTTCTGCCCACCATACTGAAGAAACGAACATCATATTCCCGAGGACTGTAGTATAACGTGAAATTCATAGCACAAAAATTAAATCTCCCTATTTCCATAAACACGTTTTATTCATCGGTAAAGCCTCTTATTGACCACAGTGTTAGCCCCTGTAAAGGTACTCTTTCCCGTGTACGCCGACGCGCTGTGGCCAAACAACCTTTACAGGGGCTGGTGGTCAAACGATCCATGCGTGGTTTACGAGGGGTCTGGAACAAATACCCAAACTTGTCCGTACTCTGCTCAAGTCACTGTATCTCAAATACCTTTGTGATTAACTTGGTATTCATAGATAATTTTGAAGGTGAGCATTTAGTACTCTAACTTAAATACTTTTTTTGCAAGCAACTTGTTCTCACTTCGTGAGTTACTAGCAAGCAACGTTACTAAAACACTCAGTTGGGAAACTGCCATAGAGACTTATCTGAAAAAGTGGCCCCGATCTGTCCTTGAGCACCGAGCTAATGACGAACACAACGCCGCCATTTCTCCCGCAGCGGCCACTCGAGGAACTGTACGTTACTTCTATTTTGGCTTTAATCGGCCATTTTGGAGCCAAAACAGATACAGCAGAAGAGGTTACAGGGTAAGGAAAATTTATTTGATACCACTGCGAGATTGTACAATGTCACAAGGTCACATGTGATATATGCTGTACACAAAACAATGTTTACGCGACGCAATGATCACTCCGGCCGTCGCAGCCGGCGAGGCGGAACCAGAGTGCCTGATTACAACATGTCCAAGGACAGGCAAGTCAAATGTACCTGGCCGTTGATCACCGTCAGGTACCGGCACGACCAGCGCCGCAGGAACCTCCCCAAGGAGGAACAGCTCACATCCCAAAAAGGTGACTAGCTCCCGTCGCAAACTCCATAAAAGTGGCCACATCGCCCGTTGGCAACGCCGCCACACCTTCGAGGAGCAACGGTTGCGCCACAGGATCCATTCGGCCAGCGCGATCACAAGGAAAGCAAAATTCCCTGGGGGCCGACGACCCTGACCAACGTAAGGGCGCACACCAGCGTCAGGAAAGGCATGCGCCACAAGGCGCCAGAAAATCTGCGCCACCACGCACTGCGCCGTTACGTGGACGTTTGTCTCCAATGCGCTGCAGTTGGGACACTTAACGTCACTGACCAAACCCCAACGGAAAAGGCGGTCCTTGGTTGGTAAGACTCCCCAACCTTTCTTCCACTGGAAGTCACACACTTCTCCTGGCAGGCTACCGTGGGGGAGGGGTGGTCCTATGTACGACGGCCCAAGTTCCGGCACTGGCGCCGGAAGCTGCGACGAGTAGAGGATCTCAACAAGACGAGACGCCGGAGCCTCAACAATGTCTTCTTTTGATACATGGGCGCGGAGCTGCCGGAAAGTCTCAAAAGCAGCTCTGTAGAAAGGCGGAACCGTTTCCACGCGGGCGCCAATGAGGGGCGGTTGCGAGGGTTCCAGGTCACTATACAATGTTCCGAGAAAATACACCGCCAGCGGACGGACCGGGTTGTCCGTATGGGCGTGCGTCGGCAGAGGGGTGCAAAGGGGCAGTTGCCACCCCCAAGCCAAACTGCCCCCCCCCCCCCCCCCCCGAGTAAGTGGGGTGACCATTGGTTCGTTGACAAGCGAAAAAACAACCACAAACAATTTAAAAATAAAATCGAAAGTAACTATCGAAAAAAAAAAGGGAGATGTCTTGCCCCGCATTCCGTCGAAGAAACAATTGAAAAAGTGGAAGCCGTTTACAAATCCCTGTAACGCCGAATTGGAGCGCAGCTCTTGAGGAGGAGTGAAGGGTACTGAGGGGAGGGTAGACCCCTCCTCCTTCTCCTCCTCCTCCCCTCATTCTTTAATATGCTCCGGGGGGGGGGTCACGTGACCTCGGGGGGGGGGGGGTGTCACGTGACTTCGGGGAGGGGGGTCACGTGACCTCGGGGAGGCGTGACCTGGGGGTCACGTGACCTTGGGTGTCACATGGGGGTCACCTCAAGGTCACGTGACCCCCATGGTGACCCCCACGTGACCTCAGGGGGTCACGTGGGGGTCACCCTGGGGTCACGTGACCTTGAGATGACCTTGGGAGGGGTCACGTGACCTTGGGGAGGAGACCACGTGACCTCGGTGGTCACGTGACCTCAGAGGGGTCACGTGACCAGAGGGGTCACGTGACTTGGGGTCACGTGACCTTGGGGGCCATGTGACCTTCAAAGGGTCACGTGGGGTCATCTTGGGGTCACGTGACCTTGAGATGACCTTGGGAGGGGTCACGTGACCTCGAGGGGTCACGTGACCTTGGGTTCACGATCCCAAGATGACCCCACGTAAGTGACCTTGGGGGTCACGTGACCTTCAGGGGGTCACGTGGGGTCACGTGACCTTGAGATGACCTTGGCAGGGGGTCACGTGACCCCCAAGGTCACGTGACCCCTCCAGGTCACGTGACCTTGGGGGTCACGTGACCTTGGGATGACCTTGGTTACGCCGACGCCGACGGCGACGGCGACGCCGACGCCGCTCAAGCCGGGAACGGGCCCCTAAGAGCTGCGCTCTAAAAAAAGGGCAACTAAGCCCTACTTTTGCCCTGTGCGACCCCCCCCCCCCAAACCTTACTGGAGACGCATCTGTTTCTGAGAACACGTAATCCTCCGCAATGAGCACTCAGTGGTGA